CAGTCATGAGAATGTGAACCTTGGAACAGGGAACTGAGCAAACAGGGTCAGCCAACAAGGCATCCATTGAGATAAAACCAATAGCCAGCAGGAAGCAGCAAAGAGCCGCCAGAGGTCAAATGATGCACCCCCAAGCTAACCAACCAAGAATCGGTTACCAAAGGACCCCTCCTTTGGTAACTGATGCTTGAGCCAGCCGACTCATTCTTCACCAAAAAATAAGAAGGCTGCAAACAAACACTCAACCCACCAGGGCCAAAAAACAGAACTCCTACCTCCAAAGAAGTGCCTGAAGTTCCTCATTCCTTTTGCCAGAGGCCAACAAAAACAAAGCCTTGACAAAGATATCACGACCCAAAGGCGAACCATAAACTGAGGCCAGGATATAAAGACCAATACCTGGTCAAGGGACCAGGATAGTCCAGGAACAGCATGAGCAAACCTGACTTGACAACGCACGAGGCAACTTGCAGAACGGCACCAATGAGGTGTCAATACTGCATGGTGGTTTTCTCTTGGCAGCACCCTGGGAGGGCAGCCATGAGTGCATGCAACCCAAAGCACAACAAAAGCCAAGCCCATACAACAAGCCTCACATAAAACATGAACGTGCATCTAATACTAAAATTAAAGAAAATACAAATGGCCACCACATGACAAACCAAATCTAAGGATGGCTGGCACTTAGCTTAAAACAGAGAGGGTTATCTTGAGATGATCTCGGGGCTTTCAGTGTCCCTGCGGCCCGGTCCTCGACCAGGCCTCCACCCCCAGGAAGCAGCCCGTGACAGCTGACTAACACCCAGGTACCTATTTACTGCTAGGTAACAGGCTTGCCCACAACTGGCAGACCGGACTACTACCTGTAGAACATTCCACCACATCAGAAACAGACCAAGGGAGTTGGCTGCGTGCAGGGGCTGGGCCGCCTGGTGGTGACTGGCACTAATGCGTTTCAAGTTAGTTTTGGTGAATCCCTTGTTCAGTGTTTATTGCTTGCGGAGTTCTATGGTGGTTTTTGAGGCTTTGCTTTCTGTGTTTTCAGTTGTCTGTAAGGCTTTGCTGACTTTCTGGATGCTTTCCCAGTAGGGTGGCAACTTGTCACTCACTCCCTGTGCCTCTGTGAGGGGCTGGGTAAATAGTAATTGGTCCCCAGCAGGCTAAACAGAACTTCCGCAGCTCATGTGACCATTTAGAATGGAGCAATCTCAGCAAGACTGCTTCAGGGAGCCAGAGTCCCAGAAAATGTGTCTCGTTATTAACACTCCTTATCATCACTAGATTCCAGGATGAGATTGCAAGTTACAAAATATATGGTTATTTAAATAACAACAAACCATAAATGGTGCCAAAATACTTTACTGTACAATACATACATAAATCCTCAAATACCTATTTCAAATTTGTATAAGGGGTGAGGGTTTGAAATGATAAATATACAAAAAAATGCTTAAATTGATAATCCTTAATTTTAGATACTAATAATAACAGTTTTGTTTAATATTTGATTATCAACAGCATTTGGACGGATTGGTTTGCCACAGTCAGGGACAGGAAGCTTCTTAGGTTTATCTAGATCATCCCCCCAGGTCAACTACTGACCTTCCCCAGAATGCTACTCACAACACTTGCCTAACTCCCAGGTCCCTAGTGACTGGTGAACAGGAGCATCAGGTAAAAGGAAATGTTGCCCAAACGTTTTTGTTCAATTGCTGGAACAACAACTCGGCACTTTTAGGCTGTGACCTAACTGCACTAACAACTCTTCCACAGGTCCCACAGGGCTTGCTTGAGTGAACAACGTCTAGTACCTGGCCACATTCAAAACTGCTACTGTACAGTAAGTCAAAACAAGTCATAAAGTAACTACTACTAGCAGTCTCCGTGGTGTAGTGGTAAGACACTCGCCTGGCGTTCCGCGAGCGCTATGTCATGGGTTCGTATCCTGGCCGGGGAGGATTTACTGGGCGCAATTCCTTAACTGTAGCCTCTGTTTAACGCAACAGTAAAATGTGTACTTGGATGAAAAAACGATTCTTCGCGGCAGGGGATCGTATTCCAGGGACTTGCCCGAAACGCTACGCGTACTAGTGGCTCTACAAGAATGTAACAACTCTTGTATATATCTCAAAAAAAAACTGTATACCTTAGTACAGTATTACAAAATGATGGTTGACCTTACATTCACCAACGTGCATCGATACCGCCCGTATGGCACTGCATAATTTGGATACAAGACCATAAGGTACTGTACTACTAATTTAGAGAAAAACATGTGCACTTGGCTAATAAAAACAAAACAAAAACATTTACATGGGACCCAAGAACAATGTATGCTTTAATATGTGCTTTGTGCCAATGTGCTTTAATATACTCTACTTACTAATCTCTCTCATCTCATTTTTTTCTTGCAATGTATCTCTTATTTTATTAATTCTGCTAGAATTTTCCTACTTAAAATTATCTGTTAGATTAAGGACCTGCCCAAAACTCTGCACGTACTAGTGGCTTTACAAGATTGTAAATACTATGCTATGTATTCTCACAGACCCAATGTACCTTCTTGTATATAAATAAATAAATAAATAAATAAATAATAAAATAAATAAATAAATAAATAAATAAATGTATACATAACATGCCTTGCTACCAGCCACAAGCTCTGCATGCTTTTATTACCAAAAAAAAATTGTCTGGCCTACTATGCTTACTCTACCTAATATAACTACTACATGCCAAACATAACTAATTTATATCTAACATAACCAATCAAATCCTAAACTAACCTACCTATCTGAACCAAACATAACGTAATCTTACCTAACAATATGCATTAGCCCTCACTGTTATTGAATGTCATTTGGTACTAGGAGCGTCGATGGCTGAATGAAAACAAACACTGCACATCATGGCAATACAAAACCTACTTACCATTACATTTACGTGATTTACCCGAGGGCCACTAACCCTAGTAGCCTCGACAAGGACAGGAAGCCGGCGGCTTGTTGAAGGTCCCCCCCCCCTTGATAGACAGCTTTGCCTTGATATGCAGCTACAACACTTCACTTAGCATTTGTTACCCTGAACTGCAGTCCCAACTTTGCTACAACATAACCACACATTATATGCTACTCAACTAAATATAATGAGATCAATATAAAATAAAGTTAAGGAAACATTTTAACAAACAAATCTTAATACTGATATTATATATACAATGTAGAGAAATGACAAATTACAATACAGTACACACAACTTCTGCAGGGATTAAACCACTGACCAGTCTGTTGGCAGATAGCATGCTCAACTTGTGCCTAGTTAGCCAGAAGTTAAATGGATACAAGTCACATCATACACAATACAGTTCACCAGCTGATTTGATAACATATCTTACCTTACTCAACTTAACCCAATGTAACCCGAACCAACCTAACCTAACCAAATGACATACACAGATTAGACAATTGGGAAAACGAACTTTGTCAAACTGTTTCGTGTATGATTGTACCATACTCCAGTTCAAAACCTGGCAGCCTCATGTACTATCAGAAATTGATACTCAACCAATTCTATTTACAGTAGTGAAGAGCAGAAAGAAAGTGAAGAAATACCAAGATAAGAATGGACCTAAATTTGTGATAATGTTTCTCCTGTGAAAGCAAGAATTTCCAAACATATTTCTCACCCACAGGGATATAAACCCATTCAGTCATTTACCTGCAGAAGCCATAAATGCCAAGTCAATACTGTACTTCTGTTCAAAGGAGACCTTCAACAAGCTGCCAGCTTCCTGTCCCTATCAAGGCCACTAGAGATGGAACTTTCAGGTAAATTCATGCATGCCTGCTATGTCAATTACATCAACAATAAATGTGTCTCACACAGGAAGCAACACCTCGTGAACCTCAGGGATGCTAAACTCATCATCAAAGAAGAAAACAAAATTTGGAGTCAGTGTATAGTCTTCAGCCATCACACGCTGTAACATCATTAGCAGAATTTAGGAAAATCAGCATTGTTGCCACTTTTGCTTAATAAATACTTCATAAATATAGTAATAAATAATTCCTCATGTGTCTCACCTTTATCTCACTGACCTCACCCCACCCAGCCTCATGCCACCTGACCTCAACCTTATCACCATGTTCATCCTTTATAAGGAGTAGTCGTGTGTATTTCCGAGATCTGACAAACCCTTACAGGTAATACACTGTCTACAATTAAAGTCAACTCTCAACTCAGGGTTCCTCTAAATTTAAAATTCTATATCTAGTTACTAATAAAGTTATACAAAACTGGAAATTCACAATTAGAGAACAAATGTGTAACTATGATTTCTGCACGTATACTGTACTCAGGACCTGGATTTTGTCAAAGCAACAGGAACACAGAGGATGTAAATTCACATCCACTTCCAGTTCTTCCGTTATTTAATCAGTGATGTCTGCTACAGTCTCCTTGTGCTGGAAAGTTTCTGCCTCAATAATTAACAATTTATTAATTATATATATATATATACTGTGTGTGTATGTATTTAATTACCTAAGTGTAGTTACAGGATGAGAGCTACGCTCGTGGTGTCCCGTCTTCCCAGCACTCTGTCATATAACGCTTTGAAACTACCAACGGTTCTGGCCTCCACCACCTTCTCACTTAACTTGTTCCAACCGTCTACCACTCTGTTTGCCAAAGTAAATTTTCTTATATTTCTTCAGTAGCTTTGTTTAGTAAGTTTAAATCAATGACCTCTTGTTCTTGAAGTTCCAGGAATTCTTCTCTATCAATTTTAATAATTTTCATTACTACTTTGTATGTACTGATCATATCCCCTCTTTTTCTTCCATCTTCTAGTTTTGGTGTTTTTAATGCCTCTAACTTCTCTTCATAGCTCTTGTCCTTCGGTTCCAGGAGCCATTTAGTTGCATGTCTTTACAGCCTTTCCAGTTTGTTGATGTGCTTCTTAAGTAATTAGTGCCAAGTATTTGTCTGTCTGTCTATATGATTTTCATTGATACATATCATGCCATTGTGATTTCATTGCAATGGTGTGACAAATATACACACATAACACATACAGTACATGTATACAGCACAGTATATATAATGACACACACACACACTTGGCATGTCCATTTCCATTTCCTCCATGGAGACCCCTCAGTAACATTGGATGAGGATTTTTTGTACAGAAATATTCTTGCTTTATAAATTCATGTCCATCTCCAGTTCTTCCATGATTTGGTCAGTGACATCTGTTGGGTTCTTCTTGTACTGGAAAGCAGCATTTATGGCATCCTTGAACATCTGTTAAAAAAGAATACAGTTCTGGATTAGGAGATCAGTCTTTAATGCAATGCTGGTTAACAACATGCAATGTCTATATGTTTACATGGGAGAAACCCAAGATGGGAGCTACCCTTAACACTCACAGTTCAGCTACGTAGTATAATTTAGTTAATACTGTATACTGTAGACCCCCAATTAGTGTATATACACTAAGAGTTTCCATTAGTTTTGGACTAAATCCAGAACTAAAATGTACTTGCTGGTTGTTAGGCCATCCAGCAATGGAAGGGATACATTAGCACATGAGTAGTTCAAAACTTTAACCGAATATTCTGCCATCACTGCAGTCAGCCACATTTCTATATAACTATTTCAAGAAATATGACAATACAGTACAGTCACGTCTAACTCCAATGAACCAGTTTGCACCAGACTATCTGCATCAAAAAGCTATTTCATTACATAGAAGCTTTGCTGTTTTTGTGCTACTTTATGCCTTCCTTGAGGTTATCTTGAGATGATTTCGGGGCTTTTTAGTGTCCCCGCGGCCCGGTCCTCGACCAGGCCTCCACCCCCAGGAAGCAGCCCGTGACAGCTGACTAACACCCAGGTACCTATTTTACTGCTAGGTAACAGGGGCATAGGGTGAAAGAAACTCTGCCCATTGTTTCTTGCCGGCGCCTGGGATCGAACCCAGGACCACAGGATCACAAGTCCAGCGTGCTGTCCGCTCGGCCGACCGGCTCCCTGCCTTAAGTAATAATTTTTTTAAGTAGTGAAAATGATGAAACATGCTTTTTGGCATACTGTACTTTCATATGAAAATCACTTGGGGAAGGCAAATTCATAATGTATAAACTAATATTTTCATGCAAGTTTTACATTTTGTTAGCACCACATTCTGGTCAAGTGAATACACAAACTTATTTCATCAAAAGATATCCATTATTTTCTGTTGCAACACACATCACAACCTTATGACTAGAAAGGATCCTCTGTTGCAACACACATCACAACCTTATGGCTAGAAAGGATCCTCTGTTGCAACACACATCACAACCTTATGACTAGAAAGGATCCTCTGTTGCAACACACATCACAACCTTATGGCTAGAAAGGATCCTCTGTTGCATCCGAACCTATGTCAGAATGAGTTCCATTCAAGAAAGACTTCACTATACAGTAGTTAAAATAAAAACCAAACATTACATTACAAGTCTATAACTTAGAAAGTCATTTATAAAATACTTTGCTGTACAAAGTAATATTACTAAAAAATATTTACAAAGAAAATATCTCTGTTAGAGCAAACATAACTGCAGTGTTAGCATTTTACAGTACAGTAATTAAGTGTATGAAAAATACAAAAATTTGTCTTCTTCAAATATTTACCTTTAAGATATTCAAGGTTAATGTTACTGTATTACTGAACTTAATTCCATTTAACACTTAAACATTAATGAATATTTCTTTCATTTCACATTTCCATGACAACAAAAAGATTATGAAGAACAAACACTACACCAGAAGATTAAGAAATGACGACGTTTCGGTCTGTCCTGGACCCTTATCAAGTCATATCAGGTCAATAATGGTCCAGGACGAGACGAAATGTCACCGTTTCTTCATCTTCTGGTGTGTGGTTTAATCATGTCTTCGGCCATGTTATTGTGACTCATCGTTAACAAAAAGATTATACTGTACTGTACTTTTAAGTTCCCGTAACAATACATTGATTATAACTATGCAAAGGTTAGTGAATATAGAGGAACAACCTATCAAATGATCTGTTGTCCAATAATGCACCATTCTCTCAAAATCTGAACAAACACAAGAACAATATATTATAATTTAGTATATTATATAAACAGTATAGTATATTGTACACTACAGTACTGTACATTTCTGGGATGCCCCACTTGCTAGTTTCTCCTGTGTTTTCAGGCTCTTACCACTGTGCCTAAATACTGTACCAGGCCTCCAAGATCCCCACAGACCTACTAGGAGGTAGAACACGAATCTACCACCATGTACGAGGTGCGGGAAGCTTGGGGACTAGAGATCTTTCCGAAGCTGAGGAATGCATACCAGAAAGATGAAAGAAAAGCCAGTGCTTGAAAGGAGAAATTAATATGAGGACACAAGGCATAAACAACTCTAGCACTAACTTAACCAGCTGCCAACAAATGGTGGCCCAGCCCACCACCTGATTTACCTGAGGGCCTGATTTACCCTAGTGGCCTTGATGAGGATGAGAAGCTGGCAGCTTGTCGGATGTCAGAGGTTTCCCCATTTGCCTTGATGATCTTTTCCTGGTATATTTTAAAACTTAACACAGTTTTGGCAATTATGGTTTTGGCGGGAAGCCGGTTCCATGAGTTAATAACCCTGTGGGTGAAAAAAGCCTCTCCTGTTCTCAGTCGTACATTGTGGCTTGTTGAGCTTGAAACCATTGCTCCTTGTTTGTGTTTGTTACTGTATCGACACCGTCACTGGAGTATGGAGAGGCAATTTCAGCGCCATCTATGGGTCTGCACTCCAGCTTCCCAGCATTGGGTGCTACGCAGACAACGCCATCTGTTGGTGGTGGCAAGGTATCGGTGAAAGGCTCTGGTTTCCTGCCTCAGATAGAAGAGGAGGTCAATGATGATGACCTCTGGTGGGTGGTGTATCGAGATCGTCATCTAGGTTGTGGCTACAATTTACTATGTCAATTTCCTGGTAGAAGGGCGTTATCCTAGGATCACCCAGCGTACTATCTGTCTAGCTAATGACGTTTTATGTTCACAGAGGTGACATAAGGAGGCGATTGCGTCGAGGAGGGCAGTTCACCTTGGGCAGTCCAAGAACTCTTGACTTGCTTCTGTGAGAGGGCAAAGTGGCTGCCGTCAGTTATAGCAGTGTGTTAGCTGCTGGTTTATGCAATGTTGGATAGCCCGACGTACCCGGGATTGGCCAGGAAGTTATGGGACGACAGTGGTGCAGCTGTTGAGAAGTACTGTTCGCGAGCTGCTAGAGACTTCTGCCAGAATGCTGGCTACCCCTGGGAGCCGGTCGGCCGAGTGGACAGCACGCTGGACTTGTGATCCTGTGGTCCTGGGTTCGATCCCAGGCGCCGGTGAGAAACAATGGGCAGAATTTCTTTCACCCTATGCCCCTGTTACCTAGCAGTAAATTAGGTACCTGGGTGTTAGTCAGCTGTCACGAGCTGCTTCCTGGGGGTGGAGGCCTGGTCGAGGACCGGGCCGCGGGGACACTAAAGCCCCGAAATCATCTCAAGATAACCTCAAGATAACCCCTGTATGTGATTGTTTGAGACCCCTGTCAGTGTATTGCTGAAACCCCCTGCCACGGTTTGTGGTGTGTGTGGACTGGCCCATGTTGAAGAAGGTGAACTCCCCGGTGTTTATCATTAGGTGTGGACGAGGTGTATCTGGAAAGTGGATTCACCGGGATTGATGAACACTGCCGATGTATTGTGTCCCGAGTTGAAGTGTCATTGTAAATACGTGTAGTAATACTTTAATATAATATATATATAGTGGTGAAGGTGTTAATATATATTGGTGAAAGTGTTAATATATTGGTGAAGGTGTAATAGTGTATTGTTTATCTCCCCTTTTAATCTTTGCACTAATACCTGACACAGCCAGTTCTTGAAAGCTTACCACCGACTTGGGGTTGGATATAGAAGAGGTTATAACAGCAAGAACCCAGTTACTGGCCCAAAGTGGCGTAACACTGTTTCATTTGACCTTCTGTAGAAAATATCCAGATCAACATCCTCTAATTTGTTCAGCATTTTAAAAGTTTCAATGTGATCCGTCCTGTCATGCCTGGTTTGCAGTGTTGTTACCCCTGTGGCCCTCAAGCGGTCCTAATACAAGAGATGACTTGGCTCTGGAATGACCTTTGTTGCCCGGTGTTGCACCTTCTCCAGAGCAGCTATGTCCTTCTGAAAATGAGGTCGCCATGCTTGGATACAGTAATCCAAATGAGGGTGCACCAGAGATTTATACAGTTGAACCATTACCTTCTATTCCTTATACATGGGGCCTCGACTTACGAATTTAATCCGTTCCCAGAGATGGGTCGTTAGTCGAAAATTCGTAGGTCGAAACAAATTTTCCCATACGAAACAATGCAAACTGAATTAATCCGTTCCACACCCCAAAAATATTAACTTAAAAATACATTCTATACCAAGTAACACTCATTTTGTACTAGCTACAATACAGTCCTGTATGTATATCTTACCATGAATGAGGACTCTTGTTGGCATATGGATGACAGTGAGGAGGAGCGGTGTTAGTGTTTGGAAGGGGAGTCCCCTTCCATTATAACATCAGGCAGTGATGACTTTTCTGGGGTACACACTCTCTCTCCTACGTTTTGCCTGCATACCACTAGGACCTGCTTGTGGCTCACTGCTTGTTTTTCCACCATCTTGAAAAGCCATCACTCACCATCTTGAAAGATGGTAAATGATTCCCCCCCCCCCTCCCCTTGAGGATTTTCTCCATGAGCCTGCAGATGTCAAGCTCATCAGCCAGTAGTTTTCTGCTGAGCTTTTTCTGCCTCTTTTGAAAATAGGGCTGACATTTGCACATTTCCAATCTAGGGGGAACTACCCCTTGGTCCAGAGATGTTCTGAAAAGTAGTTTCAGCAGTAGGCATAGTTCTTCTGCCAGTTCTTTAAGACTTTGAATTGGATTCCATCCACACTTGGGGCTTTAGAGTCTTTTAGTCTGTCAATGTTCTTTCTAATTATTTTGCATGTCACAGGTATATTCCTAAATTCCTTCTCCTCCCCTCTTCAAACATGTGTGTGGGTGATGGGATGTCATCCAACCTTTCGAATGTGAACACTGATGTAAAATAATCATTTAGAGTGTTTGCTGCCCTTTTATCATCCATTATAACTTGGTTAGTCTCATCTATTTAGGGTTCAACCGAGTCCTTTGTTTTAGTTTTCCCTCTTATATAGGCATAGAACGATTGTTTATCTTTCTTTATGTTTTGGGCAAGGGCATCTGCCTCACTAACTTGCTTGGTGCTGCATGTGTCAGTTGGCTTCTGCCAAGACTCATAACACATGAGAGTTCCTATCCATGGAACTCTCATTCTATGTGTTACTACTGTTTTATTTTGTTCATAGGTTTTACATTTATAATTGTTTTCTTCATACTATTAGGAGTACAGTAATTTGATTAGTCTATGAAGTACACGAGTTATTTATCTTAGAAAGATAATACAGTATGTATGCAGTACTCCATATCATGAGCCAAGATACAAAAAAGCACAATTAAGAGTGAAAAATATAAGGCCTTACTATAAAGACCATAATTTTAGAGATATCGTAAATTGTGTCCTCAGTGCTACATCATCAACATATTCAGAGGCTATCCTGGATCAAACTCATTTTGAATACACAGCTCATGCAGCTAGGATCCGACTTCAACCACATTTAGATCGCCTATCACTTTGTATCCCTACAACTGAGCATCTCACACCCAGGGATTCTTACCTTAACAACATTAGTGCCACTTGAGGCCGACACATAGTACATTGGGATGTTGTTCTTCTCCGGGAAAGCAAAACTCTTTCCTGCAATATCTTCATTTTCTGAAACACACGATCAAAATAATGCATAAATTATCCAATAACTTTCACTGGACATTTTTTAAGAACATCCCCTCACCATTAAAAACTTTAATCCCTTGCTCAAACTGCTTAATTCTGACTGGACTTGTTCAGGATTACTAAGGTTTCTGGTTTAATGAGTATTCTACATTTTTTGGCTACTTACTATATTGCCATTTTATTACCATTTGATTTGAACTTTTGTCTTGACTCTAGACCTGTGTTTCTCCACCTTTCTGGGGGAGAGCTCATGTGAAGATAATGTGGTGATATAGTGCTAAACTACTAGGTGGCATCAGTCAAGAAGTTCTTTTTTACCTACCAGGAACCACAAGCCAGAATCTGGCTCCACTCTAGAAAGGCAAAGAGAGCAGTGGCATGAATGAAAAAACTTCTATGAATTTATTCATATCTGCCCCCAGTGGGGAAGGCACTCAAAGCCAGCAAGACAAAACAGACCGCTGCTGGTTAGAAGCGAGACTGCAGCCTCAAAACTTGCAAAAGAATTCCTCCCAACAATATAAACAAACGAAAGAAACTTTATGAAACTAGTACAAACCCGTTTGTCCCACCTTTCCCCCCCGCCCTCCTTGTTAGTGAGGAGAAGGGAGCAAGAGGAACTTACGAAGCAAGAATGGAGGACTTTTGGACTGGTAGATTCGTTAACCTCATCCTGGAGACTGTCATGTATCAACATATTAAAGAAGCTACAAGAATGAGGAAGGGGATGTTCCTTCAGTGTTGGATTTGATATTCACCAAGAAAGAAAGAGATTCAACATTCAGTGCCTTTTTCCTTTGGGCAAGTGCCCATGTGCTTTTGGAAATAAAGTAAGCAATGTGTTATAATATAATCTACAATAGGATAAGGAAAACTAAGCAGTTAAAAAAACTGATTTCAATCGACTTGAGAATGGTCCAGGACGGACCGAAACGTCGTCGTCCCTTCAATTTCTAGTGTGTGGTCTGGTCAACATACTTCAGCCACGTTATTGTGACTCATCGCCTGCAACTGATTTCAAGATAGGACACTATGTGGAACTTAGAAAGTTCTTTAATAAATTTGATTGCAACGACTTGCTGTTAGACAAGGAAGTAAATGAGATGCATGTCAAGTTTTGTGAAATATATGATAAAGGCACAACAAATTTTATACCAAAGCAAAAATGCAGACCTAGGAAACATGATTGGTTTAATAGAAACTGTGAGAGGGCCAGAGATCAAAAGACACAAAAATTGAGTCAATATAGGAAGAGTCCACACCCTCAAATATACCAGCAATACAAAGAAGTAAATAAAACTACATGGTAGCGAGAATTTTTGAGAAAGGGATAACAGACAAATGCCAAACAGAACCAGGCTTATTCTATAAATTCATTAAAAGCAAACTGCAGGTAAAGGATAAAATTCAAAAGTTGAAAATGGGAAACAGATTCACAGATAATAAAAAGGATTAGACAAACAGTTCCAATAAGTGTTTGTGCAAAATGAAATTGTCAGAAACCCAGACACAGACCAGACACTTCCAGAGAACAAAGAGCAGTCTAGAGGCAAAGTGGAAAAAAATGCTCAAAAAGCTAAGTAGGAATATAGCAGTTGGCCCAAATGAAGTTTCATCACGGGTTCTGAGAGAATGCACACACAAGCTCAGCGTTCAACTTCAATTGATATTTCAGTCATCTCTGTGTACAGGAGTCCTAGCAGATATATGGAAAAAGGAGTCCTAGCAGATATATGGAAAAAGGAGTCCTAGCAGATATATGGAAAAAGGAGTCCTAGCAGATATATGGAAAAAGGAGTCCTAGCAGATATATGGAAAACATAGTTTCAATCTACAAAAGTGGCAGCAGGAAAGACCCTCTTAATTACAGACCTGTATCATTGACAAGTGTAGTAGCCAAAATAATGGAAAAATTATTTAAACCAAATGGGTAACACAGTACACCTGGAGAAATATGATATAATAACAGAGTGAGAATATGGTTTTCAATCTGGAAGGCCCTGTGTGATGAATTGATTTAGTTTCAATGATAGAGCCACATAGATTTTACAGGAAGGAGATGGTTGGTTTGACTGCATTTATCTAGACTTCAACAAGGCTATCAACAGAGTCACACATAAGAAGTCATTCTGGAAATTGGAACATACTGGAGGAGTGACAGGGAGGCTTCTAACATGGATGAAAATTTTTCCAAACAACCAAAAATGGGGGGGGGGGCAGTAATCAGAGGCAATGTGTCAGACTGGAAAAATATGTCACGAGTGAGTACCGCATGGGTCAGTTCTTGCACCACTAATGTTCTCTGTCTATATAAACGACCTGACAGAAGGAATAAAGAATTATATAAACATATTTGCTGATGATGCTAAGATATTAGGGAAGAGAAAGGAATTATCAGGGGAAATGTGCCAAGCCATTTCGACTATATGGAACTTGGAAGGGGTCAGGATAAGGATTTGGGATGGGACCGGGGAAAGGAATGGTGCCCAACCACTTGGACAGTCGGGGATTGAACGCCGACCTGCATGAAGCGAGACATTTAATCCATTTTATAAGCCTAATAAACAATTTTCTTATACAGTATTAATAAATTTCAGTATTTACCCAAATTTGAGAAAATCTTTCGACCAAGACAGCTGAATGCTGGTTCAATCCTGCTCTAAAGATTTTTTCATATATACACTGTACTGTATTACGATATTGTGTACTTGTATTTGCCTTAGAGCCACCATCTCTAGTGGTCCTTTATGATGACAGGAAGCCAGTGGCTTATCAATCATCTTCCCCCATTAGTATTAATTCTTTATTATAACTATATCATTATTGTGCTCATAGCAGCATTGAATGTATTTCTAATCAAATTGAATAAGGCTACACATACCGTCGATTTTATTGACAGCACAGAAACATGGAATCTCTGGTCTATGTTGTCGTAGCTCCTTATACCAGTTGGAGAGGTTCTTGTATGTCACTTTGCGTGTACCGTCAAACACCAAGATTGCAGCATGAGCCTGAAAAATATAAATTCCATTTACCTGCAATAGGGGATAAGCAATTAATGTCAGAGTAATTACCCCAAGGAAGATTATTTAACATTAGGCAAATATTTTTCCTATAGAATCCTTAACAAAATAACATACTGTAGTACTATCATGTTGTACATGATGCAGTTTTGCCTAGTGTCTGTAGGAGTGAATCTCCAGTTGGAACTAAGAACCTATTGAATTTGATACAGTATTGCAGTACAGTACTGTACTGTATACTGTATTGTGGTGCTGCACACTGAATTGTAGTATAGTGAACACTTGCTCAAATGGACTAGGTGTACAGGAGGGAAATTGGATCCCATGGAAGGAGCTCATTCCAGTAGCATGCTCATTATACAGCATTTGACAACAATGGAAAATAATTACCCGACTTACCCGACACAGGTAAATTGAAGGTACTGTAATTGAAAACCTTCAGTGGATTACATTAACATTTTAATTATTTAAAAAGTCTCAGCATTGAATGTAATGAAATGCCTCTTTCTAGAGGAGCCCCAATGGCTCCCTAAAGCTATTTTGCCGATATTGCTCCATATTAAAATGTCGTATCAATCACGGACGACCTGTTCAGCCTTACGGGAGTTGGAGCCAGAACCTGGCACCCTCATAAAGGAAGCAAGTGACAATTTGCCAACCCACTAGCAAAACCCTCCAGAAAGTCAGCAAAGCTTTATAAACAACAGGAGGGTTCACAGAAAATGAAGCCTTGAAACCACCAAAAACTCCACAAACTAGCTCAAAACTCAGCAGTACCAATTACCCCCACCAGGCACCCTGGCCCAGCACTCAACCAGCTTCCAATCTCAGTTCTGGATCTGATGAACAACCCCACAAAGAACCAACAAATCTGGAGATTCACTTTCCCCCCTCCACTTCCCTCCTGAAACAGGCATTTCACTGAAGTATTTAAATGAAGAGTTTCTGGAGGGTATCCCCCAGTTTTTGTTTTCTGTGGCTAGTTAGCATTAGGGCCAAATAAACAGATCCCCCTCCCCCACCTCCAGTGAAGAGCCTGAAGCTTCCAAACCCTACAGACAGAAGAGAGCGCCCACAAAAAGACAGCCTGTAGAAAGATACCACAAGCCAAGGAGAAACCCATAAACTGAGGCAGAGAGAAAAACCAAAACCAAGTGACAGAGGAGGATGGTACCATGGAACCAAACCCCAAAGAGCCCAAAGGGGAAGCCAGTAATGCAAGAGGTGACAAAGGGTGAGTGGGGCATTTGTTTATTTGACGCTATTGTGATTTCTGTGTGTAATGGGGCATGAACCCACCGATCCCAAGAGTGGTGAAATGTGCAGAACCAGAGAAACCAATACAATGCCCAGAGTCAAACCCTGCACAGAGGAAATACTATACTGGCAAAATTCAGGCTCCAGCACAATTGTTCTGCTAACAAGAGTCACCCAGGCCTGATCCAACACCTGATGGCAATACAGCTGCATGCAGAGCAAGACATCCAGAGGCAAGGATAGAAACCAACTAAGAGTCCCAAATGAGACCTAGACATGTCCGAACCTGGGATGGAACCAACTGGGACTTCCTCCAGTACACCAGTAACCCGAACCTAGTGAGCTGAAAAAGGCCCAGATCCCTGGCCAGCTGACACATGAACTGACTGGCCACCCACACCGGCCAGTTGTCAACGTATCAAAACAGAAGATCCTCTGAAATGTAGCCAGGCCACCACAACCTGTGCTAAATTATTAAACACACAGGAAGCCAGATTCAAGCCACAGGAAGGAACCATGAAGTGGTAAGCCTGACACCCTACAACAAAACCTAGCCAATCCCTGAACTGAGGACGTTTCACAGGTCCAGTGAATCATGCTTTGGGACTGGGAACAACCAGGACACACACCAGAGGGGCAAGGCCATTTCGACCACACCCAAGTCCAACCCACCCACAATGCATAATGCAGTACTAGGGAGGTCAGGGAGGACTCCTGACCAGCATGACCCAACCCCAAGAACAGGGAAGAGACCAACCAACACCACTGCAGGTCGAGAGAGAGAGAACCCAAAAAGACAACAAATCATATGACCAGGAGCTGACAAAATGTACCAGATGCTCATGACCCCGTCATGGCAGCATCAAGAAGACAAACTGTGAAAGGACCGGCATAAACCATGAGCAGAACCAACCTTCCACTACATGCAATTGGAATGTCAAGCAGAGGATGAACTTGCATCAGGCAGTGCAACGGCTTGAGAATCAGTTCCACCTAAGGGCCTACCTTGACCAATAAGGTAGGGTGGCAAGGTTTCCACCCTACCCGACTGCCTCCGATGAGGGCAAAGCCCAGGGAAAGCAAAAAAATGATTAATGGAGCAGCCAGAGAAAGCTACTGCAGATAAAACCTATGCAATAACATCTTTGGGAAAGTGGAGAGGTGAAAAGGGGGAGGCAGAGAAAAGGGTAAGAGACTAAGCCAAATCTAATAAATGGGCCAACATGTCCTGTTGATATGCGAGGCGGCCCAAATATAATGCCAATTTGTGGGCCACCCTCAGTGGCTACTTGATTTCCTCCCCTCCCATCCAGGTAGTCATGGTGGGTCTTGTGTGTACATCTGCTCCAGAACTGAGAGCTCAGACTCCTAAAGGAGGTAAGTTACTTCCCCTTTACCCCCAAACAAGTGGGGGAAAGTTGGGGAGGGTAGCAAACATGCTTACACTAGTTTCGAGAGATTTGATAGTTTGTTGACGTAGATGGGGAAGTTCATGAGGCGGGTTTCGATGCTTTGGTCTCTTTTAAACTCTACAGTGGTTTGTTTTGACTTGCTGACTTTCTGGATACCTTTTCTGGTAAGGTGGTGAAATGTCACCACTCCGTGTGCCTCTGTGAGGAGGGGAGGGGGCCAGGTTCAAGCTTTGGTCTTTGGTAGGCTTAAAACTACACAGGTGATGCTGTCTGGTACAGTAGATGGACACCATATAGCTTCAGGGAGCCTCTGGAGCTCACTCCCTAGAAACTGGCTTTTCATTACTGTACATTCAACACTGGTTCTTTTTTTATGAAAATGTGTACAAACTGTGTTCTACCATTTTCACTACAGTAATAAAAACATTTTAATGTTTGATAGAAAATAAGAAACTTCAGCTACAACAAATTTATAGCTACAGTAGATGGAGTCTAATATTAATATAATTCAAAAGTGGGTTCAAACATTCAAAATAGGTCAAGTGGGAGTACATTGTACTGTACAACATCATGATCTGTTTTGTAAATTCACCTGATGATAGTATGACGGGTGCATTGTCTGAAACCTCTCTTGTCCTGCTGTGTCCCAAAAATCTGGAAAAATTTAAAGAAACCCAGTGATGCTGTACAGTATATAATTTAAATACAGTATTGCAAGTTAGTTTTAGCTACACATTAAATTATTTGGTGCATCATACTGGTATTGTACCGATTCATTTAGAACAATGTGGGTCCTATAGCACAGTAGTCTATGTCCTCGGCTCACAACCAAGGACCCGGGGTTTGACCCTCGGGCAAGTCAGAGAGAGTTCAACACATTTTCTTTCACCTGATGCCTCTGTTCCCACCTAGCAGCAAATAGTATGTACAGTACTTGGAAGCTAGGTAATTTGCATCCTGCGTAAAAGTCAGTAGTTGGCCTGGATAAGCCTTACAGTGTTCCTTGCCCCGATTATGGGAACTACTGTATAAGGCAACTTATCATATTTATGTGGCCAAGTAACACATTCAAAATGGCTAGAACAAAATTATGCCAGAAAAGACATAATATTATACAGTAGTGAACAGTGTACTGTATTCATACAATAGTTAGTCTATGGTACTGTACTGTATTTTATTGTGAAGGGGCAAGATGCCCAGTTAGCATATGGCTGGGAACAGCAAGTCACTAAACAAGCATTCTTGAGAAAATATTGAGGCAATACAATGGGAAAGAGTCTGCATCCCTGGCCTCGTACACTACTTACTGAACCATCTACTGCATGTACCTGGCAAGTCCCGGGATGTGGGTTCAATCCCTTTGTATGACCTCAATATTTTCTTAGATAAATCACGATCTTGGGATTTTATCTTGCAAAACATTCTTCACGGCACACGCGGCTCTGACATCCCTTCAGTTTCACCTAGACAAATTTACACTACATTATCATAAAACATAAACATTTTATTTAGACAAAAGTACAGTACATACATACATAATTCATTTGCAAGAAGGTACAATGGGTTGGTGAGATTACGAAAGATTGGTATTTTTACATTCGTGCAAAGCCACTAACACGCATAGCGTTTGGGCAGGTCTTTAATCTAACATTAACAGGCAAGATGAAAGGGTACATTGTAGCAAGGTTTTTATATCAACAAATAACTACAACATAAATTGACAGCGATGATTACACTGCTAAGGATATACGTATGTCTTAAGTACTAATATTGGGGAAGTGGGTAGTACAAGATACAGTGTGAGTTTTAAGCACAAGGTAGTAAACTATGAGGATGAAATTAGGTACTTTTTGGTTTTACTTTTTAACAGGGCGTGGGTTGGACAATTTTTTAATTCACCAGGGAGTGGGTTCCAAAGACTGGGCCCTTTTATTGGCATGGAGTGTTTGCACAGATTTAGTTTGACTCTTGGGAATACCAAAGAGAGATTTATTTCTGGTGTGGTGCACATGGGTTCTATTACATCTATCAAGGAAAAGTTTCAGATCAAAATTAGCATTTAGGAACAAGGTTTTGTACATGTAGACAGCACATGAGAATGTGTGGAGTGTATGTTTAGCATGTTAAGGGACTTAAATAGAGGGACTGTGTGTTGTCTGAAGACAGAGTTTGTTATAGTTCTGATAGCAGATTTTTGCCGAGTGATATCATAAAACATTGGGGTAATTTGCAGTGGTTAAAACCCATGCACAGATACCGATGTTAGATAGAAATAGATTAGTGCATAGTATAATGAGAGGAGAGCAGAGTGGGGAACATAATATCTGATTTTAGAAAGTACAGTATACCGACCATTTTTTAGATTTTTTGGCTGTGTGGCATGTGGGTACTGAAGTTCAGTCCCTTGTCTATGTATAGTCCAAGGAAATTCCCCTCATTTTTATTGGTAATGTTAACATCGTCTAACTGAAGCTGAATTTGATATGACAATTTACTACCAAATAAAATGTATAAGGTTTTTTCTATTTTTAATGCAAGTTTGTTAGTTGACATCCAAGAGTGGACTTGTGTTTAATTCACTGTTGACAATATTATTTAGTGTATGGGAGGGGATTGGGGTCAGAATAGACAAAGGTAGTATCATCTGCAAATAGTATAGGTTTAAGAATGTTAGAAACATTTGGCAAAATCATTAATCTAACATATCAGATCAATATGTTGATATTGATATCAATATCAGTCTGATCTATACATACAAGGAAAGAAACACAGTGTTGGATTTATAGGTAGGCAAAACTATGCCTAAAACCACTAATACAAATATTTTGAGAAATTATGCATGAAGATACAGTAACTTTTTTATGCCAACAAATTATTTCTTACTATGGAAAGTAGGTACAGTACTAAGACATATTCATATTCAATCCATTAAAATATAATGAAACAACCTTTATAACAAAAAAATTATTTGTATATCAGAAAGTCTAGATTTATCAGAGGAAAATCAATCTGAAATTGGGAATATACAAAGGTCTTTTAGATATGAATTTAAATAAATAATAAATAAATAAATATGTTTATTCAGGTAAGGTACATACATACAAGTGATGTTACATTAATGGATTGATATATAGATAGAGCTAGTACATACAATGCCTAAAGCCACTATTACGCAATGCGTTTCGGGCAAGAAAAACATTAATATCTAGAACTTAATACTAATTGAGCATAAAGAATAAAAAGTGTTGAGAACAAATACAAATAAAGATAAAAAAAAAAAGGGGGAACATGATTGAAAAAGCAGCACAAATATTTCATTGGAGATATTCGAGACCTGAATACAGTGGTACTCTACACGTACAAGAGTTCTAACTTACCAACATCTAACTTCTGAATGGCCTTCTAAAAAATTTAAAAGACTGAAAAAGGCAACAACCAAAAGTCCTGTAAACTTTCCTAGGGTCTAGAACAACACACACGAACTATATCAGGCCAAAGACAACATGCATTAGGTCTAGGATTGCCTAATTGAGCCTAGGAGATGTTCTATTGGGTTAGGTTGTATAGTTACTATACCATCCACTTTCTAGCACGATACTTGAAGTACGTATTATAATACTGTAGTACAAAACGTTAATCTTTTAGGAGTACAAAAGCCCATCATGCGTGTATGTTCCCCCAACAGTTGCTCAAAGTGCTGTCAATTGTCGAGGATGGGCTGTATCTTGCTCCCTAGGAACAAGACTACATTTAGAGTACAAGAATGTGAGAACTCTTGCATATACGTATAAATAAATAAAATAAAAAAATAGAAGTCATTAATACTGTTTATCCTCTCAAGGCTAACACTATACCTATGAACAACTTTGGCAAAACACAAATAGCAAATTTTGACCCAAGGGCCACAAACACTAGTGGCCTCGACGAGGACAGGAAGCCGGCGAAGTTATACAGTAATAAGCTTTTATTATAGCCATAAAAGTCTAATGGCCAAAATACTATATGTACCCAGCTGCTTTATATAATAAACAATATACTTAACCCACTATGAAACCACTTTAACATGTAAAATGCATTGTATGCTGTATAACTAAAATATTCTTATTATTATGTAAATAAAGATAATACTACTAACCTACTAATACATCTGTGTTTTCCACCTTGGTGCGATATCTGTACAAGGTAAGAGCAAAGGTGGACAGCTGCTGGTGCTGGTAGCCGTCCATCAGAAACCGCTCCACAAGTCTATAAAGCAGACAAGAACGTTTAGTGGTGGCACCTTCGACGACCCGCCACCTTCCTCTCCCCATAGAGGCCACTGGCGGCTCTCGGATAAATTCAGATTCAATTTATGATTTTTTTTATTTATTTAACCGAATAATACCTTGCGGTATTCTTATTAAGTGTGCATGACAGAGGAGAGGCATACCTAAAACTGCACTTCAGCTCAAGACTTCGTAATATTTGTTGTTGAGGGAATACAGTACTGTATTTCTAATACAGTACTGTATTTAGACCTCACCGACAATGACATTAAAACAATGGAAAATGGTTAGATAACACAAAGGTGTTACAATACAATAAAGTACAAAATTAGGTAAATTTGGATAAATTAGGGTAAAAATCAGGTAAATTTAAATAAATTAAGGTAAAATCAGGTAATTTGGATAGATTAAAGGAAATTAAGGTAAAATCAGGTAAATTAGGGTAAAATCGGGTAAATTAAGGTAAAATCAGGTAAATTAAGGTAAAATCGGGTAAATTAAGGTATAATCAGGTAATTTAGATAAATTAAAACAAATTAAGGTAAAATTGGGTAAATTAAGGTAAAATCAGACAAATTAAGGTAAAATCAGGCAAATTAAGGTAAAATCAGGCAAATTAAGGTAAAAATCAGGCAAATTAAGTTACAGTCAGGTCAATTCAGGTACACAAAAAACAGGTCAAACTAGGTAATAGTCAAGTCCAACCGGACAGGACCTACTTGGACTTGCCGACAGCACTGTCCCCCAGACATATGACCTTCACGGCCAGTTCCCCCTTGCTGGTGTTCTTGTCGTAGTCCAGCTGGGTGTTCTCCCCCTGGGCGTCCTTCTCACACGTCTCCTCAGACATCTTCCTCACCAAGATTGTTCAGACAAGAAGAAAGATATTCGGAATATTAACTACAGCGGCCACTTGATACGAGGTCCATACAACACTTGAGAGAGCTACTTGTATAGCTAGTAATAGTCCCAAACTAGCATTAGTCACTTGAGGTGTATTCCATTGGGCTTGAGAAAGGTGTTTATATACATAGAGCAATGTGTACCCGTGTATACAGACTATGTATTATTGAATGGCTGAACCAGGCTATCATTCCTCAGCGTCTCCCGCTGCCAGACGTACGATCAAGGCACCACTTGATATTATACACCATATCTCTAGGGTCTAGTGCAATATTTAACTTGTTAAAAATAAGAGATGATGATAAATTAGTGAATGAAATTGTAAGGCATTTAATTAAAGGAAGAATTACGATAATATTGATCAGTGCAGGTCACTGGGCATTGGTCAATACGGATTTCACACGTCTTAGGTCATTGGTCACAGGTCATTGTTACCTGAATTTACCTGAGGGTCACTAACACTGTAGTGACCTCAACAAGGACAGGAAGCCGGCGGCTTGTCAAACGTCCCCCCATTTGCCTTGACCATCTTTTTCCAGTTGGATTTTAAAATTTAACAGAGGTTTTGGCATATGCTACTTCGGCGGGTAGGTGGTTCCATGGGGTTTATAACCCTGTGGATGAAGCAGCATCTCGTGTTCTCAGTCATCATACATTGTGGCTTGTTGAGCTTGACACCATTGCTCCTTGTTTGTGTTACTTGTCACTGCTTCCTGGTCATTGGTCTCTATAGTCATAGGTTAATGGTTCCTTATCATGCGTCACTAATGGCCGTTACTAAGCATTGGTCCAGCGTCATTGATCACTGGTCATATGCCCCTGGTCTCTTGTCATTAGTCACTGGTCCACATAATTGGGCCCTGGTCCACATAACTGGGCCCTGGTCCACATAACTGGGCCCTGGTCCACATAACTGGGCCCTGGTCCACATAACTGGGCCCTGGTCCACATAACTGGGCCCTGGTCCACATAACTGGGCCCTGGTCCACATAACTGGGTGCTGGTCCACATCATTAGTCACTGGTCCACATTACTGGGCCCTGGTTCACATTACTGGGCCCTGGTCCACATTACTGGGCCCTGGTCCACATTATTGGTCACTGGCCCACATAACTGGGCCCTGGCCCACATCATTAGTCACTGGCCCACATAACTGGGCCCTGGTCCACATCATTGGTTTGGGTGCTAATAGGGTGAAATTGGCTGCCGGCTGGTACTTTGATACAACCATCTTATAACAAGTTTTAATAATAAATCGGTTAGGTACATATGTAATACGAGTGGATTAAATAGGGCTTGTCTGTTATGGGCCTAAAAGCCTATTCTAATGTTGTCAACAAAAGCCTAGTCGATGACTTCTTTAATAGTCAAATCGATGACAATTATAAATAATGAAATGTGTATTTGATATATTGTATGTGAAATGTGTAGTTGATATATAAAATAAATATATTGTAACATGCAGTGTATGTATAATTCCTAATGCTGAAATTAAATTATCAACTGCCCAAAATGAACTATCGATGCATGTTTAAATTGGTTTGAAAACACCGTGATCCAATACAAATTTTGATAAAGTGACAATTATTGTTATTTAATTGTACAGTAAATTTACTAAAGTATAAAACAGAATTTAATGCTTTAGAGTATCTGCAATCAGATCCCAATTCCCTCTTAATATCACATTCAAAGGAGTTGTCAAGCAAATGTTTAATTCATTAGTGACCTTGGAGCAATCTGTAAGTGACAAAAGGGCGCGGCATAAATGAGGATGTTGAATACTAAATTCTTGGTAGGCAGATAATGGAACTAAGAAATCCTACAGTTCAACAATGGAGTCAACTTTTTCTCGAAAAATTACAGAACTTCTGAAATGTTACCATGTTACCACATATCTTTCAGGTAGTTATTCAAACCCACACAGCACCGCTCCTGTGCCAGGTAAGTCCACTACGGGCTCACCATAGCCCATGCTACTTGCCCCGCTCCTGTGCCAGGTAAGTCCACTACGGGCTCACCATAGCCCGTGCTACTTGGAACTTGTTCCGAGTAGCTGATTCTATAACAATATCCAAACCCTCTTCTCCTCTCACCGATCAGCCCTACAGATGTTGTGTCCATCATTCACTCATATAAAAAAATCAAAGCTGGGAACATTCAGCAGTCTCCGTGGTGTAGTGGTAAGACACTCGCCTGGCGTTCCGCGAGCGCTATGTCATGGGTTCGTATCCTGGCCGGGGAGGATTTACTGGGCGCAATTCCTTAACTGTAGCCTCTGTTTAACGCAACAGTAAAATGTGTACTTGGATGAAAAAACGATTCTTCGCGGCAGGGGATCGTATTCCAGGGACCATAGGATTAAGGACTTGCCCGAAACGCTACGCGTACTAGTGGCTGTACAAGAATGTAACAACTCTTGTATATATCTCAAAAAAAAAAAAAAAAAAAAAAAAATTAGTGAAATACCATCCTTGTTATACAAGAGCGTCTCCCATGCCCTTGCACCACCCATAGCTCTGCTGTTCACTAAATCTCTAGAGTGTCAAACCTTCCCTGACATCCTTGAAAAAGTAAAAGTAACGCCCCAGTTCATAAAGGAGGTAACACGGTAGACATAAATAATTACAGACCCATATCAAATCTACCTTTATTATCAAAAATATTTGAAAAAGTATTTACAGGCAGCTCTACTCCTATCTCGTAAAATTCAATATACTAAGACCCTGTCAGTTTGGCTTCCGCTCCCGAAAGAGTACCAATGATGCAATTGTTAGTCTGCTTGACTTAATCTACTCAGTCCTTGACAAAAGTAAGTTTCCGGTTGGACTCTTCATTGACCTGAGAAAGGCGTTTGATTTTGTTAACCATAACTAACTCTTACTTAAACTCCACCATTATAGAATCCGATGCCTTGCCCTGAACTATATCCGATCCTATCTCAGTGACAGATACCAATATATAGCCATCAATGATATAACCTCTTCCACTCTACCATTAAACTGTAGAGGTGCCACAGGGCGGCATCCTGGGACCTCTCCTGTTTTTTATATACATCAATGATCTGCCTAATGTCTCTAACATGCTTAAACCTATGTTGTTTGCTGATGATACTACTCTCATCTACTCTGACCCTAACCCCACTCATATGTTGTAAACAATGAATTAAAAAAGTCCACTTATAGATGTCAATCAACAAACTCACACTAAACATAGAAAAGACCTACTACATCTTATTCGGAAACAAATCAACAAATGCAATTCAGCTTCAGATAGACAATGTTAACATCAGCAATAAACAAATCACTTGAACTCCAAACCTTTCCAGATATTCTAAAAGCGAGAGTTACCCCTGTCCACAAATGTGGTGATCTCACTGATGTTAACAACTACAGACCTATATCAATCCTGCCAAACTTGTCAAAAATATTTGAAAAACTAATCTACAAGCAGCAATTACTCTTATCTAGCCAAACACAATATACTTAGCTCTTGTCAATATGGCTTCAGACCCAAAAAAAAGCACTAACGATGCACTTATTAGTATGATTAACTTGATACATGCAGCTCTTGATAAAAATGAGTTCCCTGTTGGGTTATTTGTGGACCTGCGTAAGGCTTTTGACACTGTCAACCACCAAAACCTTCTTCTTAAATTACATCATTATGGAGTCAGAGGACACTCCCTGCAATACCTCAAATCTTACCTTACTGACAGGCTCCAGTATGTTTCTGTGAATAATTCAATTTCTCCCACCCTACCCATCAACATTGGTGTTCCTCAGGGCAGCATACTTGGCCCTCTCCTCTTTATCATCTACATTAATGACCTTCCAAATGTCTCCCAACATCTCAAACCAATTCTATTTGCAGACGACACAACCTTCATTTACTCCAGTCCTGACCCCCTTGCTCTAAATGTCACAGTGAATACTGAGCTAAATAAAGTCCATCTTTGGCTAACTGCCAACAAACTCACCCTCATCATTGACAAAACTTTCTATATTTTGTTTGGCAATAAATTCTCAAATCAAATAAATCTCAGGATAAACAATACACAAATTTGTAACAAAGTAGATGGCAAATTCCTTGGCGTTCTCATTGACCACAAGCTGAATTTCCAGGGACGCATTCTAAATATAGCAAAAAAGTTTCTAAAACTGTTGGCATTCTTTCTAAGATCAGATATTATGTACCTCGCCCTGCCCTGGTGACGCTCTATTACTCCCTCATCTATCCTTATCTCAACTATGGTATTTGTGCTTGGGGTTCTACTACCCAAAATCATCTACGTCCTCTAATTACCCAACACAAAGCTTCTATTAGAACAATATCTAACTCTGGCCCCAGACAGCACTCCGTACCCTTACTCAAATCTCTGAATATGTTAGATTTTAAGTCACTGCACATCCTCTCTTGTGTACTCTATATATTTAAAACTCTGAATTGTAATGTCAATCCTGACCTTAAAAGCTTATTAGAAGGTTGTAACAGAACCCATGGGCACCACACCAGAAATAAATACCTATTTGATATTCCAAGAGTACGACTTAATCAAACTAGAAATGCTTTACATATCAAGGGACCCAGAATGTGGAATGACCTTCCCAATTATGTTAAAGACTGTACCTCTCTCAACCAGTTTAAGATAAAAACTAAGTACTACCTAGTTAACTCCATGTAACCTACCTTACCCTTAAATGTCAACCCATGTCTTACTATTTTTAAACAATGCTGTTTGTTGACCAACTTTTATATTGGCTATTTTCTACCATGTTCTCCCCTTTTTTTATCTTTTATTTTTTCTTTCAACGCAATTTATACTTTAAGCTCATTTAATATTAAGTTTTGGTCTAAGTGTTATTATCCCCACCTCACCTTGCCCGAAACGCTATGCGTACTAGTGGCTTTAGGTATTATAAGTACTAGCTCTATCTATAAATCCAACATTATGTTTGTAAGTAATCCTCTATGTATGTACTTTTACCAGAATAAACATTTGATTTCATTTGATTTGATTTGATTTGAATATCCTTCAAATTGTTCAGTATTTTAAAAGTTACAATGAGGTCAGCCATGTCATGTCTGGTTTGTAGTGTTGTTAGCCCTGTGGGCCCTCAGTCGTTTCTGATAGGAGAGAAGACTTAGTTCTGGAATGATTTTTATTGCCCGGTGTTGCACCATCTCCGGAGCAGCTATGTCTTTCTGAAGATGAAGTCTCCATGCCTGGATGCAATAATCCAGTTGAATGACTACCTTTTTTCCCTTAGAGGTAAAAGTACGCTTGATTATTCCCAGGGTTTGGTTAGTCTTTTTTTACTGCCCCTCCCACTTGTTGTGCAACTGTCAGTGAATGCTGCATTCTGACTCCAAGGTCCTTTTCTCCATCAATCTGTTGTAAGGTAATGGTGTTAATGTGATAGTTGTAACATGGATTGTTATGCCCCACAGGCTAAAGTCTTGCATTTGACATTAAGAAGCATTTGCCAGTCATCTGATCATTTGTGGAGTTCATGTAGATAAGATCTCAATATCATTTTCCCTTCCCACTTTACCATATAGATCTTAGTGTCACCTGCAAAGTTGATGATATGGTTTGTAATATTCTCATCTGTCATTGATTTATATGACAAAAAGAGTTGACCCCAAAATGGACCCCTATGGTACCCCACTCACCACATTTCCCCAGTCAGAATCATTCCCATTTAGCACGACCCTTTGTTTTCTTTGTTTTAACTTTATTTCAAGCTTAACAAGCCACAATGTAGGACTGAGAATAGGAGATGCTCTTTCACCCACAGGGGTATAAACCCATGGAACCGCCTACCCGCCGAAGCCACAAAATGTTAAATTTTAAAATCCAACTAGGAAAGATCATCAGTTTGTTTTTATTAACAAGCTTAGGTATACACAGCAATGTACTGCTACCCTATTCTGTATGAAAGATTACACAGTATTGATAAAATACTAGCTATATGTTCATCTAATAGTCCCATCTCACAGGATGGTTAGTCATACATGAAATCACGGGAGAAAATACCTAGCTGCCCCAATGCAAAAAAAATCAACTTTGACTAATATCATCAGGACAAATAGGGGGAACTTTGACAAGCCGCCGGCTCCTGTTCACATCGATACCTCCAGTGTTAGTAGCCCCCTCATGTAAATTCAGGTAATAAGGCATAATAAAGCAATAATAAGGCATAATGAGGCGATAATAAGGTAGCCAGCACAGGTGTCAGGTTTCTTAATCTACGATGACGCAACACTCGCTCCCTCTCAATACATATTCTCCATAATAAAGTAATTTAACCCCGAGGGGATTAGTTCGTCTGGTGTAAAATGTGAACTGCCACCAGCGGAAATTTGCATGTGCATTTCTAGAGGGATTTTAGAAATTAGTTGAGACGATTTTAGAGAAATTAGAAGCCCAAGGGAGGTAGTGTTGGCGGCCTTGTAGTCAACCTTGGGCCAGTTGCCATCGATTACTGACAAACACGATAATTCCGGCTTTTTCGAATCATTTTTCACCAATAACTACTTATTTCGGTGATATTATTAACCTTTTATTATTTAAGATAAATATAAATTTGAATTTTAAGTTAGTGCATTTGTATGAAGAGATTAATTAAAACGGTATACATGTATATATCTATACAACGTGATGACACACAACTAATACCTTATTTATATTGATTGAATTAATATATCTGAACTTAAAATGAATAAGGAAGGAAGAGTCAATATGTATTTGATATTAATGAGGATATTAGATATTTATATCAAGATATTGATGGCGTAAAGTGTGTAAATATGGATAGTACGACAAGAGGTGACGCAAGCGACGAGGCCCGAGCGCCGCCATATCGTGAATCTCACGATTCAGTCGAGCTCTTGGACACGATGCGTATGGTTTTGGAGCCACAATATTTTTCATTCTTCCCTCAGGCAATATATTGGTGTTGTTTTAGGGATCCCAGGACTCTGCCTTCGTGAAGTGGTGTAAATCGTAGTGAACTAGCGTGTGTGCGCCGGGAAACATGCCACGGGAGAAGAAGGTGTCGAGGAAGGCTGCCGCCGCCGCCACAGCAGCAGCCACGGCCCTCACAGTTCCGGGTGGGTTTATGGCGTTTTCAAGTCCCTTTCTCTGTTATTTCCCGCCAGTTTTGTGTTTTTAGTGAAGGCCTATGAGCGGCAAGAGGGGTCATTAAGGTACATGAGCCGCGGGGAGATTATCGAGGCCTATCACCCCTCGATGCACAACCTTTATGCCAAAGTTTTCTTGTGTTATGACTACTGTAACATTACCTACAGTTACCTATAGTTCACTTCACTTGTAATGAATGAGATTGGGTGGATATGAATAGGAGCTGCCTCGAATGGCCAATAGGTCTTCAGTTACCTTCATTCTTATGTAACTTTTATCACAACTTTTTAAAGCCAACGAACACTTAACTTAAGTTTGAGTGGGCGAGACCATTATGTTGTGTGTGTTGAACACTACTGACCAGTGGTGTTGCTGGTGGGGTTAAACACGCCTCTTCGACCACAGTGTTTTGTCCTGTTGTCAGGAAGCGTATATATATATATATATATATATATTGTTAGGGTAATATGTATTGGCTTGGGGGTTAGGCTGGCTTGGGTAAGGTTAAGGTGGTTGTAAAGTCTGTTGGGGATGTGTTGTGTGTGAGGTGACTCGACCCCCACCATATGGGGGGGTACATGATGGGGGCTGTGTATTAGCCTCTATAAAGCTTATTAGGCTTATCTAACTAAAAGTATAAAGATACTATATATGCTAATGTCTTCTCTAATTCATCAATGCTGTAATTTAAAACAATGTGGCTGTTCCTGCACCTATTAAGTGCCTGGCCAATGGGGAGTGCATAATTTAAATGAAAAAGTACCTTAATGTTTAAAGAGTATGTTTGGAAACTAGTCACATTGTACACACGATTTGAAAACATACCTAACAACACATTTCAAGATGTTCCTAATAATGATCCAACCACTTGGGGTTGATGGTAGAGCGACGGTCTCGCTTCATGCAGGTCGACATTCAATCCCTGACCGTCCAAGTGGTTGGTCACCATTCCTTCCCGCCTTCCCATCCCAAATCCTTATCCTGACCCCTTATAAGTGCTATATAGTTGTAATGACTTGGCACTTCCCCCCTGATCCCCTGATAGTTCCCTTCCCTTCCTAACACAACAGATTTTAAGACCTAACCTAACACAGCCTAATGTATGCTAATACAGTACTGTATTAGCATAGAACTTGCTATGCTAATACAGTACTGTATTAGCATAGAACTTGCTATGCTAATACAGTACTGTATGTGCTAATGGTATGTGCAGTTTTGATAATTGGGAAATGGGCTTTGCCATACTGTTGTGTGTCATTTGACCACACACCAAAAGTAACATGCTGGAGTGAAAGAGTTGGTAGGAAGTGTGCGATAAATATGATTGTGTGCGTGTGTTCCCTATTGGGACTACTGGGAACTTGGTCTATACAATACATTAAAAAGCAAGTGGGCAGATGGGCACTGAAACATAAGAAGCAATCAACAATGTATATCCTCCATTAAATCTATTCTAACCCTTTTGATCTCAATAAATGGCAGAAGGTCAAGTGAGGTTTTCAGACCTTTACCTCATTTTTAGGTGCTATTGGTTTGTACCGCATCAGTGACCCACTTTCCTTGTGAGCAATGTCTGCCAAGGTTCAAGCCTTCAGCAGGAAAGGACAATTGACTATAATTCTTAATTGCTTGTCCTGTTAATCCAACAGTAATAATTTGTGGCCTGGCTGTCAACTGATTGCATTTCATGTTCCAGGATGTTACACCCCCCCAGGAAGCAGCCTGTAGCAGCTGTCTAACTTCCAGGTACCTATTTACTGCTAGGTAAACAAGAGCATCAGGGTGAAAGAAACTGCCCATTTGTTTCCACCTCCATCGGGAATCGAACCCGGAACCTCGGGACTACGAATACGAAGCGCTGTTCACTCGGCTGTCAGGCCCCCTCCCCCCCTCAGGCTAGTTAACAATTCCAAAAGACAAAATACTGTTTTCGGAATAATTGATTTTTGGTGCACCATGGGAATGTCATTTTAAAAGGTTCACAGTGCAGAGGTTACGCTTAGAAATAAGGTCTAAAATTTTGGTTAAAGAGCAAAAAAGCAGTGAATGGTGCAATAGTTTCATATTTTACAATAGTGTCCAGGTTGTGGGGCTTAATCTTGAAATGTCTTACAGCTGACTATGCACTTTGGTCAGTTGGTAAGTAATGTAGTATGATGGGAAACCTTTCGACAATTCTTTGTCTTGAGTCTGTTGCATTCTGAGATGTGGAGGCATAGGCAGGCACCTTTCACTTCAGCTTCTTAAGTTGAGTATATCTTGACCTTTGTAAATAGGGTGAAAGTGGTTACACATGTATTTATTGGTGCCAGGTTGTATCGTTCACCATTTGTTAGTGCACCAGCTGTGGAAGGTGTGTGGTTACCTGTTGGGTGCCGACCTTGTTAGTACACCAGCTGTGGAAGGTGTGTGGTTACCTGTTGGGTGCTGACCTTGTTAGTACACCAGCTGTGGAAGGTGTGTGGTTACCTGTTGGGTGCCGACCTTGTTAGTACACCAGCTGTGGAAGGTGTGCTGGTTACCTGTTGGGTGCCGACCTTGTTAGTGCACCAGCTGTGGAAGGTGTGTGGTTACCTGTTGGGTGCCGACCTTGTTAGTGCACCAGCTGTGGAAGGTGTGCTGGTTACCTGTTGGGTGCCGACCTTGTTAGTGCACCAGCTGTGGAAGGTGTGTGGTTACCTGTTGGGTGCCGACCTTGTTAGTGCACCAGCTGTGGAAGGTGTGTGGTTACCTGTTGGGTGCCGACCTTGTTAGTGCACCAGCTGTGGAAGGTGTGCTGGTTACCTGTTGGGTGCCGACCTTGTTAGTGCACCAGCTGTGGAAGGTGTGTGGTTACCTGTTGGGTGCCGACCTTGTTAGTGCACCAGCTGTGGAAGGTGTGCTGGTTACCTGTTGGGTGCCGACCTTGTTAGTGCACCAGCTGTGGAAGGTGTACTGGTTACCTGTTGGGTGCCGACCTTGTTAGTGCACCAGCTGTGGAAGGTGTGCTGGTTACCTGTTGGGTGCCGACCTTGTTAGTGCACCAGCTGTGGAAGGTACAGGGGCTGCCTTTCCCCAACGTAATGAATTATAACTATTATTTAACATTAATCTACACTTATCCCAAAAATGTTGTAGTAAATAGCCAAAAAAATGTAAATATCTACGTACAGTATATGAATAAGCCATAAATTGTGGCCAGGTTGAGCATAAAATAGTCTGGGTTCCTTACGTTATGCAGTGTTGTACAGTTGAGTACTGTGTGTTAAAGAACATGTATTTAATAATGGCAAATTGCATGCATGGGCAAAAATGTGATTAGGGGTTTCATCACACACACAAGAGGGACGTTACCTTCTTGGTGAGGACTGTCGAGGCTATAAACCCAAACACTTGGCTTATCACGTGTACCCTTGATTTGTGTATCTGTCTGAAGATTATGCTGATCAGGTATTTTAATTAGCCCTATGTCTGTAACCCATTTTGATCCATCTCTAAAGACTGGTGGAATGATAAATTGCCATGGAAGTAACTGTACCCTGGCCAAATCTTCCCCAAATTATTCATTATCTAGAATAAATAGTAATGCATGGTTGCTTTGTCTATAAGAATGTTTAGCACATGTCCTTCATGTATAATGTGCCATATAGGAGTGGTTAATGGTTGACCTGGTTAAGTGGCAACCCTCTTCAGCAGTCAAGTTCATTATTTTTGTTTTCTCAAGAACAGTATTGCAGTTTATCTAATCAGCTGATAATTGTCACAGCTGACGTTTCTCATCTTTGCCTCTAACCACCACAGATTTTTGTCCTGCTTTTAAGTATCACCTAAACATGATACATTAAATACAGTTATGTGAACAAAGAATAAAGGAAAAAGAACAAGACCTTTTTTGCCCCCGTATGAACTCTTTACGTATAGCATAGTATCTGGAGTATACCCAGAGTGGGTTCTGGGAGTTGTTTTCATCTTCAAGCCCTGCCTGGGGCCAGGCTTAACTTGGGATATTTTGGTGCTGCAAGCTGTTGCTGCCCCTATTATATAGACTAAACATTGATATAACCATATTGGGTTATAGTTGCACTTATACACAGGATATTTGTATACTGTACAGTATATACAGTACCATTATGGTCTTAAAATACAGTAGCTTGTATACTTCTAATTGTTTTCTTGTGTACAAGGTCATGCTTTTCTTTTAACTAGTTTCCCTCTTGCCATTACAGTATTACCTTTGTTGTGAACCCTCAGTCAGTTTTGTTTTCCCTGCCAAATAAACAATAGCTGACCAAGGAGTATTGCATATCATTGTAAGGAAATGCATGAGCTACTAAATGCAATTGGCTGAATGTCATTTTCTGTGTGTTGGTATCCAATTTGGGGTTTTCTTTTAACATATACATTGTCCAACCCATCCCCTTAACAGCAAATTGCATTTTGACATACTTGCCCCAGGCCAAAAACTGTCGTACAAGAAAATGGTAGCGGGGCTCGAAACTGACATACTGTAATGTCACTTTATTGTTGGTGGATTCTCTGGTAGGTTAGGATAGGGCACTATAGTACGACAGTTACTAGACATTGGAAACACTGGCAAGAATGGGCTGCATTATCATCCAAGAACAGTTTAGTATTATCCAATGATATATGCCCTGGAGTGTCTTTCCTCGGGTGCCCAGTAATTGGTGACTACCCAATTGAGTGTTGTGCAAGGAAAGATATTTTGAATATACTGTATTTGTCTAGTATGTATTTTGAACTGAAAGTTTTACTATAAAGAATTTAGGTACAGTAGTAGAGTACTCTTGTCTTCTCATGTAGTGGACAGGTAGTTCTACTCACATTGTGCCCACACTAATGGTTATTGGTTTTGGGTGTGATTCATGTGCAGGATTTTGTTGATGCATTATGCCCATGTGACCAACCACTTGGGCTGGACGGTAGAGCGACGGTCTTGCTACTTGCCGGTCGGCGTTCCACCCTTGACTGTCCTAATGGCTGGACAACATTCCTTCCCTCTATCCTAATCCTTTACCTTATCCTCATTCCTTCCAAGTGCTATATAGTTGTAATGGCTTGGCATTTTCTTCTGATAATTACCTTACCTGTGTACTCCATATCCAACACATTGAAATTGAATGCCTTCTGTTTCCTTTTTTCAGTGTTGTTGTTCAGAATTTACTGTAACGGGTGCAACTTTAAAGTTGCTCCCATAATTACTGGGTAAAAGATTAATTGGTTATACAGTAATTGGTCAGTTCTCAGTTCTTGTGTAGGTGCATGAGGTAGAGGTTATCTTGAGGTTATCTTGAGATGATTTCGGGGCTTTTTTTTAGTGTCCCCGGGCCCGGTCCTCGACCAGGCCTCCATCCCCAGGAAGCAGCCCGTGACAGCTGACTAACACCCAGGTACCTATTTTACTGCTAGGTAACAGGGGCATAGGTTGAAAGAAACTCTGCCCAATGTTTCTCGCCGGCGCCTGGGATCGAACCCAGGACCACAGGATCACAAGTCCAGCGTGCTGTCCGCTCGGCCGACCGGCTCCCTCAAGGTCTACATTAGCTTGTCAACAATGTCTTCACTGTTTGTATAATGCTTCTGAAAGTTGGTCTTTATTATTTTTTAATTGTTTGGTTTTCCCCGGCAGGTGTTGCTGGTGAAGAGGAGGACACTGTAAGTGTGGGCAGCGACCGCACTGACTCCACAGCTCAGCTCACCGATGGTGTGTGTTGTGTATTCCATACTCAAATTGTGTGTTCATTTGTATTGTATTAATGTATGTACCTTCTGTCCATTTAGTCATGTTGAGATAATGTACACAAAATGCTCCACTTTGGCCAGAGTAAAAGTGCTACAATATTTGGATTGTGAACAATCATTTATAAATGATGTGCATTATAGGCTTGAATAATACTGAATTTGCTTTGTGCCAATTATCACTAATTGTATAATTTCACATTGGTATAACAAAAAGTATTTGATTGTGACAGCCCCTTAATTAGAAGTGTTGTGTGTCATGGAACAATATGGCAGTACTGTACTGTTTAGTGATAACCATCTCATGGTACACTAGTAGGCAGCTTGTGTGAGTGCTGATGCATGATAATTAGCTCATACCTAATAATGAAGAGACTTGGTTGCCTTCAGCTGTGACCTCCCCAAATTTATGGAGAAGCCAAAACGAACCAGCTGATGAGGAAAATTACTATTGATTAGGAGACAAGGTGTGTGACTATAAGGCTTGATTATTCAGAATGTTGATTATCTAGTGATACCTCTCGTGGAGAACCACCCGAGTTTGGTAAAAATGCTGGTAGAAAAGTTTACCCCGAAAATGCTAACTGAGGTGTCGCATTTAGAACACCTGTCAGTCCATGAACTGCAAGAGGATAGGCACATGTCAGTAAACATCGTTTAAATCCAGGGAAATGAGCCAACACTGGCTTGACACCACCTGGTTAATCAAGAACATGATGGTCATCCTAAAATTTGGTTGAGGAATTTGTGGGTTGAGCTACAAATTCAAATAGAAGTGGGCTGTAAAGAATGTTCTTTTTGTATGGGAAAACAGCAGTAACTCAACCTAGAAGGAACATATTACTGTGATCATCTTTCTTTCCAAGTGCAAAATAAAGGGGTAGATGACTGGGTAGGATCTAGACACAAAAGGGGGGTACAGGCAACATGTTTAAATTAGACTTTTAGAGACAGTGTGAAGGACCCAGGTCCAAGCCTGCCAGAAGGTGTCCAAATGTCTTCCCACCATGCTGTCACAGGGGGCATACCACTAAAGGGGGTTAGCTATTTTGTCCATTGTAGAGCCCAAATATTTTTAAAATGCCCACATTCTTGAAGGGCTGAATAACAGGTTTCAATTGAAATGTATGGTGAAGTGGGAGTTGAGAACTGTTGCTGCTTTCAAAATTCAAGCAATTTCCTCTGGAAACAGCAGCAGAGATGCTGACGAGGCCAACAATAAACAAAGCAATCAAGCAGACTTCAGAAGTATCCCCAAAAAAGTCTTGGCTAAAAGCACAATGAGTGACAAAGTACAATCCTGTGGCTAGCAGCAAGAATAACAGCAAAGTCCTGGATAACATGTACTGTGGCTAAACAGTACTGCAGAGGCATTTGTAACAGGAGTGAATCCAAACCAGCCATGGGCGGGGCACAAAGTTTAAATAGTATATCTAAGTGTTGGTGTGTATGGGGGTAAATGTATGTGTGGGGGGGAGGGGGGATGCTTAATTTGCATAAATTTGAGCAAGTAAAGCCTTATACTTGGAATTAAATATCTGATTTGTTAAGCTAAATCCTGTTTAAATATTTAAGCTAAATTCATTGTTTTAAATGTCAGTAAACTTAAACAAATACTATATGCAAAAGTAAGTTATATTGTTAGTGCTAATGAAAAAAAAATTGCCCCCCCCCCCACTAAAAAAAATTAAAAACCTAATCTGCTTAATTCATTAGGGAACTGGTTGCAATTACAGTAACTTAAATTAGCTAGTTTACTGTACTTGTTCATGCGAGAGAATGATGCAGTTTAACGAGCACTTGGGATAGGGGCAATAATGCTAAATTTGGTTGACAGATGAAGGAATATCAGAGCTGGAGACGTACGAACAGAAGGTGCGCGAGGCCATGGACCTGGCCTTGGAGAAGTCGGTACATACCCGCACCAATGCTCTGATATCCCTCACCACTGCTTTTCAGAAGAGGTTGGTAGTACTCGGTTATTCTCCTCTTTGGAGTTCCTTTGAGGTACAGTATATTCTAACCAAATCTAGTAATAGCTTTACACTTAATTAATGATTCAATTAAATTTAGAAATAGTTAAGGAAAAAGTACTTTCTAAATGCCTTAGATGGGCATTTCTCAACCTTTGTACCCTTGAAATAATTCTAGGTTGTGCTTTATATGAATACAAGGATTTCATTGTCAGACAATTTCTGTGTTAAATGGGAGTTAAATGAGGAAAATTAAACAACAATGACTCAAAAATACATATGCATTTTATTCAAATTAGCATGTTTATCACCAACTCATGTTGAACCCCTAGTTAGCTGGTTGAAAAATGCTGCTCTAAATATTCCACTTGAATATGTGAGTGCTTTCAAACTATTACCTCAATGCAATACATCTTGGCACTTATAGAAATGCTTTAGTTTCTCTTGTTACTACTGCTGCAATTAGTTAATTTCATAATGCACTTTTTTGTTCAGAACCCTCGGTAACTTGTTAGCTTCTCTTATGTTAAGAGAAGGCCTTTTGGTTTGAGAGGAAGCCATTTAGATCTAGCCAAACTCATTTGTATGTTTCCTAACCGATGCTTGAAATGCACCATGATCCCACATTTATTTTGTTACCTGGTAATCTGTCCCTTAAATCACCCACCCTATTTCTAAGCCATTGTTTACCCATATCTTTCGTGAATGTAAACTTCTTAAATTTATATCCATTGTTTCGTGTTCTATTTAGTGTTAATATACTTAACACCCTATTAATATCCCCTTATAACTCTACAGAGTGTTGACACCATTCCTTTTGGACCATCACCAAACCATAAGTGACTTGGTTGAACGGTCACTGAGAAAAGGCAGAGGGCCGGAGCAGGCAGCCGCGGCAAGACTGGCATCTCTTCTAATCCTCAGTCTGTCGCAATTAAACGAGGCAGAAGAGGTTAGGCTTCATTTCCCTGCATGACAGGCATTGGGTTATGTAGAGGATGGGGTTGACGGGCTTGATGACATCTGAAATAAATGTGCATATGTTTAATTTTTTATTCAGTCATTTATTAACACTTTCGCTGCCGCATGCCGCAGAGTGGGTCGAGAGTTGCCTGTGAGCTCACCACAACACTCCAATGTTTATACTATTTTTCAGCTTTCTCACCTCAATTTTCGTGCTACGTTGTTCAATTTGGTATCAAATTGTTCGCAATAGAATGCTGTAAAGGGTTACAGTATTTGCATATAGGAACATAAGTCGCTTTTCTATACTTACGATGAACACTCCATAACTTTTCCCTCAAATGTTTCTTTCACTGCTTTCTTCATGAGTGGCTTTGTACTTGATCACTATTCATCTTGAAGTTAATTTGCAGTGTTTATAAAGCTGGTAACAACAAATACTTGAGATAAAATAACCGGAATAGGGAAACTTTTTCGACTCGAGGTCATGGCTGTCACAGGTGAGGTCACGAATAGTGAGCCTCCAGCCAGGTCACGAATAGTGAGCCTCCAGCCAGGTCACGAATAGTGAGCCTCCAGCCAGGTCACGAATAGTGAGCCTCCAGCCAGGTCACGAGAATAGTGAGCCTCCAGCCAGGTCACGAGAATAGTGAGCCTCCAGCCAGGTCACGAGAATAGTGAGACTCCAGCCAGGTCACGAGAATAGTGAGCCTCCAGCCAGGTCACGAGAATAGTGAGCCTCCAGCCAGGTCACGAGAATAGTGAGCCTCCAGCCAGGTCACGAGAATAGCGAGCCTCCAGCCAGGTCACGAGAATAGCGAGCCTCCAGCCAGGTCACGAGAATAGCGAGCCTCCAGCCAGGTCACGAGAATAGCGAGCCTCCAGCCAGGTCACGAGAATAGCGAGCCTCCAGCCAGGTCACGAGAATAGCGAGCCTCCAGCCAGGTCACGAGAATAGTGAGCCTCCAGTGTGGGTAGATACCCACACGGCGGGGTCAGGATGCCACATGGGGTATACAGAGAATGGAAAGACAGAGTGCATTTTTAAAGACTCACATATTCAGACAATAGGTTGAATTTTTACAAACTTTCTAATTAATGACGACGTTTGCGTCATCACTCACTCCGCGTATTTTGGTTTTCTGCTGCATATTACAGCATCAGGCAGCGAAAGTGTTAAAATTACTGCCTCGGAAGCATGATTACTGTATCACTTGTGAAACATTTGAAAATAATGTACTAATCCTTCAGCTGAGAACATCTACTAGGCTTGTCTGACGTGACTCAGTAGTGCGAGCCGTACATCTATCCACATTCCATACTGGACAGATGGAATGTGGCACGCACTTCGCATTAAGAAAACAAACATCCCATAGGCCGTTGGAGTGTGAAAATTGCAGAGGAGTGAAGGAATACTCTCACAAAAATTTAAGACAATTTACTCTAAAATCAAAATGAGCAAATAACACATGGAAAAATACCCAAAAGCTCTTATTGAACACACTTGGCTAGCATACAAGAGAAATAACACACCACAAATAAACTTATTATAACACAAAAATAAGGGTGACACAAATTACAGTACACTATTTACATAAGAGCACTTAAAACCTGCACACAAAGAAGTGGGAGGCAAGTGACGTGCAGAGGCAGGAGTGTTGATTACCCGAGCACTTGATGAGAGAGACTCCTGAGGTGAGTGAGGTCATGGTACAGTGCTGCATTTATACCCTTGTTGGTGACGTCACATCCTCTGTCACTGAGGCTTGGAACGAGGAATCGGCACCGTAACAGGCAGTTACCTAGACATACAAGGAACCGTCAGGTCTTGCAGTTGCACACTTTCCTGGGCCTCTCAGGGTAGGTGGAGGGTGTACTGGTGGTGGTGTCCAGACATTCGTCTGGATTAAATTCCATACCAGTTGTAATACGCGGTATGCAGAGCAGTTTCCTCTATGCTGAGGAATTATGTGACTTGATTTTAGGCTTGGTGTAAGATTTAAAACTCCCACGGATATATGGGGCTCATTACTTCCTCATGTGTCTGTAAACAAATTCCATCTTACAAAAGAAACATGGGCACCCCTCGTGGGTGCGAGGGCCTCGGTACCAACACAGCAGCCATGTGTAGATCATGCAGCAGCATCACCAGCTAATGACACCGCCATGCAGCTCATGCCCACAGTGTCGCTTAATAATGATGAAATAAATAAGTACAGTATTTGCAATTATTTATTGATGGTGATATAAAAAAATAGTCCTGACAGATTATATACAAAAGTTCAAATATCAGTAAACCTAGTGCTGGTGGTGATGTTCCTAAAGCGAGGTAGACAGCCACAGGACACTGCTGCTGTTTGATGCCTCTACACATCATGGGGGACCTCATGCCACTTTTGAAAATGAACATGTGAAAAATTATTCATGTTCAGGATTTAATGACAAGGATTTTGGCTAGAGGTAGTGATGTGTATAGCATATTGGGGTGAGTTTTGCATTTTCATGTGCCGTTGGCAATGGGTGAGTGTGTGACTGTGCCATTCATAACTCAATTGTTACGAGATTATCACACTTGGCAGAACTGCTTAGTGGTTAGCAACAGTACATAAACATGTAGATAATTATGTATAACGTGTGAATACAGTGTGATAACATACAAAATGGTATGTTTTATTGTTGTAATATTATATTGCGGTGCAAATATTACACAAACATATGTTATACATATTCTGTAATGTAGATAATGGAATTGAAAGTCCTATTCATCACTGCTTTTGAAAAAATCAAAGTACTGTACTGTGCACTGTTATGGTGTATAAACAAGTGGTTTGTTATATATCAAATGTGTATAATGTGTATACACACCTCCATATCAACCTACCCTGGCTTTGCGCCCTGGAGAGGCCACTCCAGACCAACAACCAGATCGCAACTCTCTCATGAGACTGATGGATGCCTACTACACTACTACTACTATAGTGTGTGATAATAGGAAAACTTTTATTGTTTGAAGAATATAATATTGTGCACATACAGTATTAGTTACACAAATGTATGTGTTTATTGATGTTCTGCACGTTTCTTTAAGGAAATTTATCAAATTACACACTATTGTATAATTATGAAAAAAAGTGCAGAAACATGTTGGAAACATATAAATATATTCGGGGGAACCCTTGCTGTCAGCCTGGCGAGAGGTAAATAGAGAGGAAGGGGGAGATTGAAAGAGGGTGGGAAAGTTACTTGCATTATATCTAAATACAGTATATCTAAATTTATAAATACAGTATTGTATGAATATATTGTATCTAAATAGGCTGGCCCGGGTGTCTCGTTCATCAGCGCTTGTGAATAGGTGACGCCATTGCAGTATTTCCTCACTCCACCATAGCCAAAGCAATTCTTTTAAACTTTTCTATGATGAGGGAATGAATTTTAGCAATATTACAGAGCTTATTTTTTTATTTTATTTTACGTGCGTACTAGAGTGTTTCCACACAAAACAGGTCATAGTGCAGGGGTTAATGGCTGCTTGTGTTTTATATGGTTTTATGTATTATAAAGGGAGAGTATTCATCTAGTTGTATTCACCTAGTTGTGCTTGCAGGGGTTGAGCTCTGCTCTTTCAGCCTCTCTCTCAACTGTCAATCAATCAACTGTTACTAACTACTAATTTTTTTGTTTCTCTCCTCTCTTTTCTCTTCTCTTTTCTCTTTCTCTCTTTCTCTTTCTCTTTCTTTCTCTTTCTCTTTTCTTTCTTTTCTCGTCTCTTTTCTCAGTTTTCTCTCTCTTCTCTGTTCTTTTCTCTCCTCTATTTTATCTTTTCTCTCACTTTTCTCTCGTTTTTCTCTTCTCTTTCTTTTCTCCTCTCTTTTCTCTTTTCTCTCTCCTCTCTCCTCTTTTCTCTTTTCTCTCTGTCTTTTCTCTTTCTTTATCTCTTTTTCTTTCTCTTTCTCCCTGTTTTTCTCTCTTCCTTTCTCCCTCTGTTTTTCTCTCTTCCTTTCTCTTCCCCCCCCCCTCAGAAGCAGCCAGTAACAGCTGTCTAACTCCCAGGTACTTATTTACTGCTAGATAACAAGGGCATCAGAATGAAAGAAATTCTGCCCATTTTGTTTTCTTGCTGGCACTGGGAATCGAACCCGGGCTACAAGATTGTGTGTCCAGCGTGCTGTCCACCAGGGCCCCAGTATTGTAGTCAATACAGTAGGTTTCTTAGCTTATTAATTTTGTAAAGCGTGAGAATGTTTTTAAAAAATTTTTTTATCTTGGATTACAGGTGTACAAGACTTTGGAGCCTGTGTTGACTGTTGCTGTGACCGATCCCTCTGGACCTCTGGCCGGACGACAAGAATGTGCATATACTTTGGCTTTGTCTGCATTCTTGGCCTGTCATGATCTAGCCGATGTTACCTCTGCCATGAACACACTCCATTCTGTGTTCAGTGGCTCTTTACCAAAGGTATAATTTATAAATGGTTTCCCCTCCTTAGCATGTTATATTATGAATTTAAGAGCTTTTCAAATAAATGCATTTAAATTTTCTTTAGTTTATGTAAATGCTGTACTATTGATCATCAATCTGCACTTAAATCAGTATGGTAAAATAATCTTGGTAATTGCAGACAGTACGTAAATCACAGAATGGCTGAAAATTAGATACTCAACCCACACATTTGAAAAGAAAAAGTGATGCCATTTCAATCCATCTTGAATGATTATCGCACTTGATAATGGTCCAAGACAGACCAGGGGCCAGATTCACGAAGAAGTTACACAAAAACTTACGAATCTGTCCATCTTTTCTCGATCTTTGGTGACTTTGTTTACAATTATTAAACAGTTAATGAGCTCCGAAGCACCAGGAGGCTGTTTATAACAATAACAGTTGATTGGCAAGTTTTCATGCTTGTAAACTGTTTAATAAATGTAGCCAAAGCCATCAAAGATTGAGGAAAGATGTACACGTTCGTAAGTACTTGCGTAACAGCTTCGTGAATCTAGCCCCAGAACATTATCACTTCCTTAAGTTTCAGATGCGTGGGTTGAGTGTGTAAACCTAGTACGGTAACTGTTTGAAAGTGTTATATTGCATGTCTTCTTTTTTGCTATTGATCACAGACTAGAAAAACTTTGTAAATAATAAGTTTTCTCAATAGGGTAATGGGGAGCTGCCTAGTCATCCGCCTGCTGTAACAGCTCTACACACCGCTGCGCTCAATGGGTTTTGTCTCCTGCTTTGTCTCCTCTCACCCACCTCCGTCTACACTATGGCCAACAAGTAGGTCTAGTTTTCTAACTAGTCGTGTAATCTTTTTGCAAGAAATGAGTATCTTTGTATTCCTTTTTGTGGAAGTAAGTAACTTCATAATTACAAGTGCCCTGTGAAATTATTTTTGTCAATTAACGCTTAAATGGCTCCAATTGATATTTGCAATTACCTCCTGTGTCTGGTTCAACAAATGTATTTTTTTTCCGAACTATTTTCTGTGGGGAACCCCATCGGCTCCCTGAAGCTATCCAAACTACCCCCTCCTCCGATACTGGAGGGGGGGTAGCGCTAATGAGCAGAAGTGCTAGTCGTATGAAGGGTTGCTTGTTTGGTTTCTGTTGAGAGTTATTTTGATCTTTTGGGATGTAGATTGCACAGGTTAACCAGACAGTGGTCCGTTTGGATTCACCTATCGTTCTGGGTCCTTTCCCTGTTGATGGCAATTATGGCCTTCTTTAGATGTAAAGTGCTCATAAGTCACTGCTCCATGCACAACCTCTCCTCTTACAAATTATGTCGGAATTTGGCCATTTGCCTATATGGCCGAAAATGGACGTAATTTGAAAATAAAAAAAAGTATTTCTGTTTTTTGTTTTTTCCAAAACAGCAAGTTAAGTCCTCTGGTAGCTTAGATTAACCTACCAGAGCTGACAGGAAGTTCTCCTAAGGTTTCAAAATGTCATGAAAACTGTCAAGTCATTAATTGAAAGTTTCCTCTCCTAATCTTGCCTAGTAAGCCAGAGGACTCCAAACAGAAAACGGGACAGTTCATCACTTTCGCTAGCTAATTTCATTTCAAATTACTGAAATTTGAAATGTTTCATCCATTTTTGGCCATAGTGCTCATACGAGCGAATGTCGTGACGCTGAACCCCGGTTCATTCCGAACACAGCGATTACACAACACACAACACCTTGTCTCAGCAACCGTTACTACCACCGTGTACTCCTACACACACCAGACCCTTGAGGCGTACCACTAGGTTTGTACTGGAACACAATGAGTGAACATATGGAAGGTATTTAAAGGCCGTCGGGTTTTGTCATTTAATTACAAAGAATAGACTCTGACAAATAATAACATATTAACATACTCTATTGGGTAAATACACTTCCAATACCCATAGACCACTTGACCTCCGCGATCACCAATTGCACTCGTAACTTCCGACTAAGTCCCTAATACGGAATGATTACTACAATGCTCCACACCCGGTTAGTCTTTCAACCAAAACTCACATACTGCAGACTTAACTTCGTCACTACAATCACATCAGGCTCTCGCATAGCTGTCTGCTACACTTCACTGCTGCCACAACGGAGATCCAGAGGACTTCTCAGTTCAACTCCCACAATCAGACTGGCTCCAATCAGCCATCTACCTCAACCATTTCACCCCGCCTCTCAAGGAAGGTATAATCCGATTAACCTTATCCCTAGAAGCGGTAATCTTGTTCCTAGAAGCCTGAAGAAGAATAATTCCTCTTTCCAGGAATTATTAATTTGGCTAAGTAGCTGCGGTCTTAATCCCTTGACCTTTCTTAGATATGTGATCCATAGTCTGTCTACTTAACATGTACTTCCAATCATCATTCGTTAAGTGTTGTAGTAATGATCCTCTAGCTAATAATTCCTACTAACTTGTGGATTACAACACGAAAAGCGACGTTATTTTAAGATTTTAAGAGGACTGGTTACCCTGCACCTCTGAGAGGACCAGGTTCTGGCTTGTGGTTCCTGGTAGGCATAAGAACTCCTGTGACGGGTGACCCCAAACTAATACAGTATAGCGCACAACAGTTTGGATAACTTCACGGAGCCTCCAGGGCTCGAGCAGAAAATGGAGTTGCGATACATTCAACACTGGTATTTTTGTCATGTGCACTAATAGAAGAACATTTCCCATCAATATTTGTTATGTATTTGAAGGTAATTTTAGCTGCCCCTTTTTTTCTATAGATCATACATAAACTTCACAGTTGTATTTTCAACAAAATTTCTCTATTTTGGAGACATCATAACCAAATTTAAGAATAGATTTGCATTTATATTTAGTAATATTAATGAAATCTGGCAAGAGAGTGGTTGAGATTGTGTGCAGGAACCAGGGAAACGGGCAGCACTGGGGGAAATCATGCATGCCAATCAACACACAATGTTCAAAATGTCCTGCAACCCAAGGTACAAATATAATTGTATAAATTCAAGTGTTGAAACACACGTGTGTATATTTTCTTAAACCCACTTTAGTGTAGTAGTCAAAAAATAAAGCGGTGTGGTAAATTTTGTAGATTTTGATCTTTTTCAAATTTTTGGAGCTTGCTTATATTTTTACCTAATTGTGAATGGAAATAATTTTTATCAGCATGTAAAGTTCATAAGAAATATTTTGACAGATTACTGAGGGAGATGTTTGATCTTCTGGGCTGCAGCGACGTAGATCTTCGCATACAAGCCGGAGAAGGTGTGGCTCTTCTGTATGAAGGTGCTCGCACTCATGATGATGATTACTATTGGAATAGGGAGGGAGAACTCTGCTCTGCATTGAAAGGTTAGTGTAGAGAAAGATTAGAGCCTCATTATTGACTGCTTGTATTGTTGACCTGGTGTTGCTTCTCAGTAGTATGCTGTTAGCATACATCTCTTGAGGCTTATGTGAGTTACCTTTATTTGCAGCCCTTGAAATCCGACATAATAATTTATATTTTAACCAGGTGTGGGGTACAGTGTAGATACCCAACACGTGGGTACTGCAACTTGGGATAAAGGCAATATAAATTGCACAGTGCACAAGATTGCACAGCATTGCAACCATGGGTTAGCAAGCCTAGCCAAGAGACCAGCATTCTCTCACAATATGGTTTTGGAAAAAGAGGGAGCAACCCAAGTTAAATTGTTTTCATCTTATGTCTGGCAGCAGCATATTTTATTCTGCAAGTGGGCAGAACTAGGCTCCTGCAAGTGGAATGTTGTGTATTTAAACGGCAACTTATTGAGCAGCAAATGCTGCCTGAAAATATGAGGCCCAAAAAAGCTGAATGCTATATACAATTGATTTAAATGTTAACTAAAGACACTTTAATTTTTTGTGTGTGTGTGGGAGGGGGTTCCTTGGATGCTCTTATTCCTAATAATTTTGTAATACAGTACATACAGCTTTAGCTTGCATGGGTAGCCTGGCCGTGATATGGGGGCTATCTGCTCCTGCAACCCTGCTTTGGTGGTTGGTGTAATTTTGTATTCTGTAACTGGTACGTAGTTAGTAATACTTAAATTTTCCTAGCATTTCTAGTTGCTGCTGGCAGTGTGTGTTATGGCTACTGATGGCTGTGTTTTTGTGGTGTTAGCTGGTGTCTTGGTGCTGGCTTGAGGCAGACTTATCCACTAGTTCTTGTAAAAAAATTGTCATGATAGGGAAAAGGTCGCCATAAGGCTAGTGAGTGACAAGTCATGGGTGGATCATATTAGCTCCGATTCAGCATCAATGTATCTAGCTTATACTCAACACTCTAAATTTTGAATTTTTTCAGAATTGGCAACAGATTCCCACAAGTTCAGAGCCAAGAGAGATCGCAAACAGCAGCGAGCTTCATTCAGAGATGTTGTTCGGACAGTTGAAGAGGGAGAGGTACCGTGTGAAACTGTCTCAGTAGGACCACAACACCAGAGACAAGAACTACTGTTAGATACGTGGTCTCTCAAGTTGCAGTACTCTTCATTGTGTCGTGCTCTAGCTCAGGGACTTAGCACTCATATTACCTTCAATGTTGGGGTAAGTAGACTTAAAAGTTGTATAGAAATGCTATTTAGCTTCTCCACAGGGACCCAGAACCAGGAGAGGCAATTAGCTTACCTGGGTATGAGATCTTACCGATTGACTGTAACCGGCAACTGTTGTCAAACCTCAGAGAACGTGGGAGAGAACGAGAGGGAATGCAGGAGAGAGCGAGAGGGAATGCGGGAGAGAACGAAAGAGAATGCGGGAGAGAACGAGAGAGGAGAGAGAACGAGAGGGGAAGAGGGAACGAAAGAGAGATAGGGGGAAAGAGGGAACGAGAGAGAGAGAGAGAGAGAGAGAGAGAGAGAGGGAACGAGGGAAAGGGGGAACGAGAGAGAGGGAAAGGGGGAACGAGAGAGAGGGAAAGATGGAACGAGAGAGAGAGAGTGCGAGAGAGAGAGAGAGGGAAAGATGGAACGAGAGAGAGAGGGGGAAAGATGGAACGAGAGAGAGAGAGAGAGAAAGATGGAACGAGAGAGAGAGAGGGAAAGATGGAACGAGAGAGAGGGGGTAAAGAGGGAACGAGAACACTATCAGTTTTTATCCTGCCACTTGGATTACCAGGTAGTTTGAATACTGACTCCCCAAATTATGTTAATAGGCCTAAATATAAGTACTGTAGCATGTATATTCAGGTGTGGCCCATGATTATTTGAACTGCTCATTATGGAGAAACTTACTACAATGCCACAGTGCTTAAATGATGAAGAAAAGCCCCAATACAAATGCAAGTGTATTAAAACCGAAGAAATATTAGATGCAATATACATCCTTTATTAAGGGACTAAACAATTGTTTAGAGTACTGTATCTAGATTAAGGATGTAGGTTGCATCCCCCAAAAATTTTTGGTTTTAATACACTTACACATGTATTGGGTCTTTCCTTCACCTTCAATGATCATCATGCTAAGATGCAGTACTTCTTTGGGAATAATTGGGAATAATCTTTCTAAGTATTAGTGTAAATAATCCAACACAAACTTTCATATAAAAGTGATGGCATTTCAGTCCATCCTGGACCCTTAAGTCTAGGATGGGTTGAAATGGTCACGTTCATTTCATGTGTGTGTGGGTTGGGTTATTTGTTTTCAGACACTTTATGGCTCGATCATAAAATAACGATTGTAAAGAATGTCTTCATAACTTTCAGGTACGTGATGTGTTCAGCCTTGGCCCTCCACCAATACAACTAGATCGCAACATGGCTGCTTTGGCACGTCGCGGTCAGAAGAAGCCCAACCGTGAATCCCCTGCCAGTAAAGCGCGCCAGATGGCCCGTAACAAGAACCGTGACAACAGGGCCGCTGCTAAAACTTACGACGACTGATTTATCCAAAGTCATGACCAAGCTCCTCAACTTAAAGCCACCAACATTGCATCATTTTCATCCATGATATTTAACACTTCTCTAGATAAATATTGTCTATTTAGAGTACTAAATTTTTATATCATTAAAACAAAAATTTGGAGACCTATTAAATTGTTTTACCTTTATTTTTTAAATTAAGAAGGCATTTTTATCTCTTTAAACTGTTACTTTGTTTAAAAATGTAAATAATAACTATAGAACAGTTTTAGGTAAAATTTCTAAATATTTAAATGCTTTCTTAATCAGAAAATATTAACTGGAAACCATTTTCCTTATTTTAATTTTTGTGCCAATCTTTATGATTGATGACATGCTTCACGTGTCGGTCATACATACCTTCAATGAAGAGTTTTAACCATCTTTGTTGTAACTTTATTGTTTACCATACGAAGTCAATGTTTTATCTTTATATAAATAAAGCAAAGAAGTTTCTGTTCGAATGAAGATAAGTTGATAACTTTATATAGATTTCCTGACACATGCTAAGTTTTCAGGTGATGAGGTTAACATTTTTTCATTTGGTTAATAAATTGTGCATGAAATCGTGTTTAAAATTTCCTTGTTAGGATTATAATTCATGGGGTATGAACTAGACAAGAGAATATGATGGCAAGTGAGAGGACTAGTTCACTCTTACGGCAAGTGAGAGGACTAGTTCACTCTTACGGCAAGTGAGAGGACTAGTTCACTCTTACGGCAAGTGAGAGGACTAGTTCACTCTTACGGCAAGTGAGAGGACTAGTTCACTCTTACGGCAAGTGAGAGGACTAGTTCACTCTTACGGCAAGTGAGAGGACTAGTTCACTCTTACGGCAAGTGAGAGGACTAGTTCACTCTTACGGCAAGTGAGAGGACTAGTTCACTCTTACGGCAAGTGAGAGGACTAGTTCACTCTTACGGCAAGTGAGAGGACTAGTTCACTCTTACGGCAAGTGAGAGGACTAGTTCACTCTTACGGCAAGTGAGAGGACTAGTTCACTCTTACGGCAAGTGAGAGGACTAGTTCACTCTTACGGCAAGTGAGAGGACTAGTTCACTCTTACGGCAAGTGAGAGGACTAGTTCACTCTTACGGCAAGTGAGAGGACTAGTTCACTCTTACGGCAAGTGAGAGGACTAGTTCACTCTTACGGCAAGTGAGAGGACTAGTTCACTCTTACGGCAAGTGAGAGGACTAGTTCACTCTTACGGCAAGTGAGAGGACTAGTTCACTCTTACGGCAAGTGAGAGGACTAGTTCACTCTTACGGCAAGTGAGAGGACTAGTTCACTCTTACGGCAAGTGAGAGGACTAGTTCACTCTTACGGCAAGTGAGAGGACTAGTTCACTCTTACGGCAAGTGAGAGGACTAGTTCACTCTTACGGCAAGTGAGAGGACTAGTTCACTCTTACGGCAAGTGAGAGGACTAGTTCACTCTTACGGCAAGTGAGAGGACTAGTTCACTCTTACGGCAAGTGAGAGGACTAGTTCACTCTTACGGCAAGTGAGAGGACTAGTTCACTCTTACGGCAAGTGAGAGGACTAGTTCACTCTTACGGCAAGTGAGAGGACTAGTTCACTCTTACGGCAAGTGAGAGGACTAGTTCACTCTTACGGCAAGTGAGAGGACTAGTTCACTCTTACGGCAAGTGAGAGGACTAGTTCACTCTTACGGCAAGTGAGAGGACTAGTTCACTCTTACGGCAAGTGAGAGGACTAGTTCACTCTTACGGCAAGTGAGAGGACTAGTTCACTCTTACGGCAAGTGAGAGGACTAGTTCACTCTTACGGCAAGTGAGAGGACTAGTTCACTCTTACGGCAAGTGAGAGGACTAGTTCACTCTTACGGCAAGTGAGAGGACTAGTTCACTCTTACGGCAAGTGAGAGGACTAGTTCACTCTTACGGCAAGTGAGAGGACTAGTTCAAAGCCTGAGAAGGGGGAGAGGATTGGTCTGCTTGGTGTTCCCACAATCTTGTATACAAGTATGAGCCAGTAGACACCTTAATTATCTCCAAATTCCCATTTCTCATTACTTGCTTCAGGTAGCTTATAATCAACTGGTAGTTCTTGCCTCTGAAGCCAGAGATAGGTGTATATATGCATACTTGGGATCAGAATCAATCTGTTGTAGATCCCTTCACACATTGGCCTGCAAGAACATGATAGTTTATTCCCTTGCCAAGCTTGCTGTAAATAGACAATGTTGAATTTAATCGAACTCTTCCCTTGTGGACACTTTCATGTTGAGGGGGGGCTCTTATGTGCTGCCTTTGGCGGTGTCTTTTAATAATTACTTATGTTCTTCCTGCAGGTGCGATGGGGTAGCTCCTGCTTGCTGTGGCGGTGGACAAACTAAATAAATACATACATAAATATTTCCCATACGTAGGTCATGTGCATGTACCTCGTGTTTCTTCATCTGAGAGTTAAGCCTACCCAGGGGCTGCAGCCACTGAGTATAGGGGCCACACTGGTGTGGGGAAGGGTTGCAAAATGGGAGGTTCCCACCTGAACAATGGGCTCGTCTGGTTAGCCCTACCTAGTTACAAATTGGGTCAAGTGACCATTGCGGGGTTGGTCCCTGGGATTCCACCTAAATTATGTATTTGGGTAATAACTTGATTGGACCATGCTTTGTTGTAGCAATGTTATAAAGGTTTTGTGTTCATAATAATATATATGTTCTCCCTGGTGTGATCTTCACGTAATGAACCAAAACCAATTAATTAATAATAGTGTAAATATATAACAAAAAACACAAACGTGCATGATAGAATCCATTATCCGGAGAACCTGCATTTGTAAAACAAGTAAACAATTTCTTAGTTTATTATACTATTAAACAATTAACAAATGCTATATTATCATATACCACAAATAATCCAGGCATGAAAATAGAGAATAATTACATTATTTACATAACTAGAATGTAGAGGGAACATAATATTTAGAGAAAATATATAATATACCTAATATCATCCTCGGCAATTGTGCCACTAACTCAGATAATAAAAAACAAAGTCCACTCACGGATGTCAACCAACAAACTCGCACTAAATATAGGCAAGATCTGCTACATATTGTATCTGGAAGCAAATTATCAAACCAAATTCGCCTTCAGATAGATATTGTCAACATAAATAATAAACATGAGGGAAAAGTTCGTAGGCTTATACATAGACCAAGGAACTTGAGTATAACTTCAATGCTCATGTACAACACAGCCAAAAAACAGTCTCAAACTGTTGGTATACTCTCAAAGATCAGATATGTTACACAAATCACAATAGCGTGATACATTAAATGAACAAATCCACAAGGCCGTGGTGAGGACCACGACCATGTTGTGGCGCAGTTGACTAAGGCGCGTCTGGGATCATCCAGGACGTAGGTTCGAACCCTCATCACAGCCTTGCGGATTTGTTCAGATATGTTTCCCCACTCTGTTTTCCTTACACCACACTACTCACTAGTCTATCCCTATTAAACTGCCATCCCCAGCGATGGCGGAGACAAATGGGCAGAGTTTCTTTCACCCTGATGCACCTGTTCGCCTAGCGGTAAATAAGTATCTGGGAGCTAGACAGCTGTTACAGGATGCTTCCTGAAGTGTGAGTGTGTGGAAAGAAAAAAAGATCGTTGATTGACAGTTGAGAGGCTGGCCGAAAGAGCAGAGCTCAACCAGGTCAGCACAACTAGGTAAACACACAGTATCTATGCCTGGGTTACAGCGCCGCTCCTGTGCCAGGTAAGTCCACTACGGGATCACCATACTTGTAAGTCCGTTAAAAGTTCCGTGCTACTTTGAACTTTTTGTTCCCAGTTGTTGAATCAACAACAACAACAGTGCTCGGGGTTCAATCAGCACAAGGTGCCTCAAGCCCAGCATCATCACCCAGCACAACTCTGCTGTCAGAACTATAATAAAGTGTTGTCACACAACATGCAGCCCAGGTTTAAATCTCTAAACCATGATGACCATACAACCACTCCACACATTCTCAGCCTAACAACTCTTTGATAGTTGTAATAGAACCCATGCAGTGTTACCACGTCTGGCTGGCTGCAGTGTTACCATGTCCGGGCGGCTACAGTGTTGCCACGTTTGGCTGGCTGCAGTGTTACCACGTCTGGCTGGCTGCAGTGTTACCATGTCCGGGCGGCTACAGTGTTGCCACGTTTGGCTGGCTGCAGTGTTACCACGTCTGGCTGGCTGCAGTGTTACCATGTCCGGGCGGCTACAGTGTTGCCACGTTTGGCTGGCTGCAGTGTTACCACGTCTGGCTGGCTGCAGTGTTACCATGTCCGGGCGGCTACAGTGTTGCCACGTTTGGCTGGCTGCAGTGTTACCACGTCTGGCTGGCTGCAGTGTTACCATGTCCGGGCGGCTACAGTGTTGCCACGTTTGGCTGGCTGCAGTGTTACCATGTCCGGGCGGCTACAGTGTTGCCACGTTTGGCTGGCTGCAGTGTTACCACGTCTGGCTGGCTGCAGTGTTACCATGTCCGGGCTGCTACAGTGTTGCAATGTTTGGCTGGCTGCAGTGTGACCATGTCCGGGCGGCTAAAGTGTTGCCCACGTCTGGCTGGCTGCAGTGGTGCTACGTCTGGCTGGCTGAAGTGTTACCAGGTCTGGCTGGCGGCAGTGTTACCATGTCCGGGCGGCTACAGTGTTGCCACGTCTGGCTGGCTGCAGTGTTGCTACGTCTAGCTGGCTGCAGTGTTGCTATGTCTGGCTGGCTGAAGTGTTACCACGTCTGGCTGGCGGCAGTGTTACCATGTCCGGGCGGCTACAGTGGTGCCACGTCTGATTAGCCGCAGTGGTGCCACGTCTGGCTTGCTGCAGTGTTGTCACGTCTGGCTGCCTGCAGTGTTGCCACGTCTGGCTGGCTACAGTGATACCACGTCTGACTGGCTGCAGTGTTGCCACGTCTGGCTGGCTACAATGGTGCCACGTCTGGCTGGTTGCAGTGTTACCATGTCCGGGCGGCTACAGTGTTGCCACGTGTGGCTGGCTGCAGCATTACCATGTCCGGATAGCTGCAGTGTTGCCACGTCTGGCTGGCTGCAATATTACTATGTCCGGACAGCTGCAGTGTTGCCACGTCTAGCTACCTGCAGTATTACCATGTCCGGATAGCTGCAGTGGTGCCACGTCTGGCTGGCTGCAGTGTTACCATGTCCGGATAGCTGCAGTGTTACCAGGTCCAGATAGTTGCAGTGTTGCCACGTCTGGCTGGCTGCAGTGTTGCCATGTCCGGGCGGCTACAGTGGTGCCACGTCTGGCTGGCTGCAGTGTTGCCATGTCCGGGCGGCTATAGTGGTGCCACGTCTGGCTGGCTGCAGTGTTGCCATGTCCGGGCGGCTACAGTGGTGCCACGTCTGGCTGGCTGCAGTGTTGCCATGTCCGGGCGGCTACAGTGGTGCCACGTCTGGCTGGCTGCAGTGTTGCCATGTCCGGGCGGCTACAGTGGTGCCACGTCTGGCTGGCTGCAGTGTTGCCATGTCCGGGCGGCTACAGTGTTGCCGTCCCGACACGAACACCAAACGTGTCCTCGTGGTATCTATTTTCCTCCTGAAGATGAAATTAAATAACAAATAATAATTATAATCTCAGAGTTTTTGTAACACTTAACAACATTCTAAACATAAATAATTATACACTCATGACTGAGGGTGAGATTATTGGCGTGTCATGGGGTCCAACACCTGTCATGGGGCCAACACCTAATCTAATCTAACCTGATCTAAACTAATAAACTAATCTAACCTAATTTAATCTAATCTAATTTGATCTAACCTAACCTAACCTTAAATAACCTAAACTAACCTAACAAATCTTAATCTAATATAACAGTGTAATTAGCTTCGTAAATATATAAATTAAATTGAATGAATCACTTGTTATTACTCCCCCCCCCCCGCGCTGAGAGCTTGAGGTGAGAGATGACATATTCTCTCTCACTTTGAGCTGAGAGACGACACATTTCCCCTCACCTTGAGCTGAGAGAGGAGACATTTTCCCTCACCTTGAGCTGAGAGATGAGACATTCCCCCTCACCTTGAGCTGAGAGACGAGACATTCTCCCTCACCTTGAGCTGAGAGACGAGACATTCCCCCTCACCTTGAACTGAGTGAGGAGACATTCTCCCTCACCTTGAGCTGAGAGAGGAGACATTCTCCCTCACCTTGAGCTGAGAGACGAGACATTCCCCCTCACCTTGAGCTGAGAGACGAGACATTCTCCCTCACCTTGAGCTGAGAGACGAGACATTCTCCCTCACCTTGAGCTGAGAGAGGAGACATTCTCCCTCACCTTGAGCTGAGAGAGGAGACATTCTCCCTCACCATGACCTGAGAGACAAGACATTCCCCCTCACCTTGAGCTGAGAGACGAGACATTCCTCCTCACCATGACCTGAGAGACGAGACATTCTCCCTCACCTTGAGCTGAGAGAGGAAGGCGCGGGCCCCCGCGGGAGAGAGGGCCCCGTGCTGCTGTAGGAGAGTGTTGAGGGCCCCGTGGACGCCCCTGGCCATGGCCTCCCCGCCACACACGTACACATGGCCCCCGCCCTCCACCAGGTGCTGCTGTAGCTCCCGGCCCTGGCTCAGCAACAGCTCCTGCACGTGCATCTGTGGGGGGGGGGGGAGCACGTGTGTGTGTTAGTACGTGGGGGGGGGGGCGTGGTAAGGCCCACACACACATTAATTAACGGGAATTAAACCTCACGTCGCTGGAAGACAGAAGAATTAGAGGGGACATGATCACCACATTCAATATTCTCAAAGAAATTCATAGGGTAGATAAAGACAGGCTATTTAACACAAGGGGCACATGCACTAGGGGACACAGGTGGAAATGGAGGTCTCAAATGAGCCACAGACATTAGAAAGAACTTTTTCAGTGTCAGAGTAGTTAACGGATGGAATGCATTAGGCAGTGATGTGGTGGAGGCTGACTCCATACACAGTTTATAATGTAGATATGATAGAGCCCAGTAGCCTCAGGAACCTGTACACCAGTTGATTGACAGTTGAGAGGCGGGACCAAAGAGCCAGAGCTCAACCCCCACAAGCACAACTAGGTGAGTACATTACCTTAGGCAGCCCGGGTTGCCTGGAGAGTGCCAGACTGGAGCTGGTGATGGCACCGGACCTCAGCATGGCCTGCTTCTCCTCAGCATAGAGGTGGTCAGCATGGGTCCTACACCCGTAGTACACCAACACCCGCCCGGGCTCCCCTCCTCCTCCACCTGCAACAAACCATTACATCTAACATCTCCTCTTAACTCACTAGTCCTCTTAACCCACCTTAATAATGCACCGGTATTCCTAGCTACTATCATTACTATGTTCACAGTGTAAAGTGGCAGTGTTAAGTTATTCCAAGTTAAAGTAAGTTAGTGGGACTTACAGTGAGCGTGAGCTTGGGTCCTCATGTGGTGATAGTGCTGCCAGAACCCCCTGAAGGGCGCGATGCCACTCCCAGCACCCACCAGCACCACTGGCACCTTAGGGTCACTCGGCAAGTGGAAGTTGGCAACACTGCAAGACGGACCCTTCACTTATTACTATCATTATTTAATAATTATTGTTAATTAATAATGTTCACGATGGCGCGAAGTATTATGCATGAGTTTGGGGAAATATACAATAGGAGCTGCCTCGTATGGGCGAATAGAAGATGTCTCGACCCCAAGTGGACTCCTGATGAGCCTATATCTGTTCCATACCCATGACCAGTCCCCCTGCAGAGTTTGGTGGGGCTAGCCCCCAGCATCTGGTTTCCAACTTAGGACAGAGAACAAGATATATTAGGAAAAATAAACGAAAATATCCAACCGCTTTTGTGTTTACACACACACACACACACACACACACACACACACACACACACACACACACACACACACACACACACACACACACACACACACACACACACACACACACACACACACACACACACACACACACACACACACACACACTCACACACACACACAGTGGTAGACGGTTGGAACAAGTTAGGTGAGAAGGTGGTGGAGGCCAAAACCGTCAGTAGTTTCAAAGCGTTATATGACAAAGAGTGCTGGGAAGACGGGACACCACGAGCGTAGCTCTCATCCTGTAACTACACTTAGGTAATTACACACACACACACACACACACACACACACACACACACACACACACACACACACACACACACACACACACACACACACACACACACACACACACACACACACACACACACACACACACACACACACACACACACACACACACACACACACACACACACACACACACACACACACACACACACACACACACACACACAAACACTTTCTTCAGGAAGAAATAAAACAGTTGGACCTGATGGAGTTTCACCTTGGGTGCTGCGAGAATGTGCAACTGAGCTGAGCATTCCACTCCAATTAATATTCCAGACATCCTTGTGCACAGGAATCTTAGCAAATAAATAGAAAAAGACAAACATAGTTCCAATCTGTACAAATGGTAGTCGAGAGGAACCTCTAAATTATAGGCCCGTATCATTAACAAGCGTGGTAGTCAAAACACTAGCAACAAATAAAGCCAAATAGGTTGAACACCTAGAGAGTAATGACATAATAACGGACAGACAGTAAGGTTTTCGAACAGGAAGATCCTGTGTAACAACTCTTCTTAGTTTTTATGATAGAGCAACAGAGATACTACAGGAAAGAGATGGTTGGGTTGACTGTGTCTATCTGGACCTAAAAAAGGCTTTTGATAGTCCCACACAAGAAGCTGTTCTGGAAACTGGAACATGTTGGAGGAGTGACAGGGAGACTTCTGACATGGATGCAAAACTTTTTAACTGATAGACAGATGAGGGCGGTAATCAGAGACAATGTATCTGACTGGAGGAGAGTTACTAGCGGAGTATCACAGGGCTCAGTTCTTGCACCAGTAATGTTACTCGTCTACATAAACCCTCTACCAGAAGGAATACAGAATTATATGAACACGTTTGTGCTTGATGGTAATATACTGGGGAAGACTGGAGACGCAGACGACTGCAATGTCCTTATCATTGATCTAGATAAAATAAGTGCTTGGAGCGACACGTGGCAAATGGAATTCAATATGAATAAATGTCATGTTATGGAATGTGGAATCGGAGAAAATAGACCTCGCACAACTTACAAATTATGTGGAATGGAATTACAGAACTGTAATAAAAGAGACCTAGAGGTGGTTTTGGATAGTAAGCTGTCGCCAGAGGAACACGTAAAGAACATTGTGAGAGGAACATTGCTTTCCAACTTCAGACTTGCGTTTAATTATATGGATGGTAAAATACTAAAGAAACTGTTCATAACATTTTGTGAGACCAGAACTGGAATATGCAGCAGCTGTGTGGTGCCCAAATCTCAAGAAGCACATAAAAAAACTGGAAAAGGTGCAGCGGGACGCTACAAAATGGCTTCCGGAACTGAAAACCAAGAGTTACGAGGAGAGACTAGAGGCATTAACCATGCCAGAACTAGAAGATAGAAGAAAAAAAGTGATATGATCACCACTTACAAAATACTAACAGGAATCGACCAAATTAACAGAGGAATTCCTGAAACCAGCAACTTGACGAACAAGAGGACACAGATTCAAGCTAAGGAAACAAAGGTGCCGAAAAAAATATTAGAAAATTTTCTTTCACCAACAGAGTGGTAGAGGGTTGGAACAAGTTAAGTGAGAAGGTGGTGGAGGCCAAGACCGTCAGTAGTTTCACCGCGTTATATGACAAAGAGTGCTGGGAAGACGGGACACCACGAGCGTAGCTCTCCTCCTGTAACTACACCTAGACAATTACACACAAATATTCACCTGCGATGGAAGAGTTGAACACTGTCGCCTGTCGTGATGTTCTTGAGGAAGCCCGTGGCCACACCCTGGTGCACCGGGCCGCTGCCTCCTGCAAGATACAATGGTCTTAACACTAACCTCTGCACTACCTCATATCACCACCACTCTCTCTCTATCAGTCACTATATCACTATCACTATAAAAGCAGTGAGAGAGACGTATAGTGTGAGTTCTCTCACCCCGTGTTCGATACTGGACGCCTGAGAGAGTGATGTGGAGGAGCCGCGGGTGTAGGAGAGGAGAGCTGCTGATGGAGTAGTAGCGGGGCTGGAGGAGGGGCAGGGCGGCCACCACCACCCCCACCTCCACCTCCACGCTTGGGAACATCTCCAACACCTCCAGCAGGTGTGGGTACTCCCTCGCTCTCCACCCACGGTACTCTTCACCGTCCTGTGGAGAGGGAGAGAATATGAGGGAGGGAGCATGTAAGGGAGGGAGCATGTAAGGGAGGGAGCATGTAAGGGAGGGAGCATGTAAGGGAGGGAGCATGTAAGGGAGGGAGCATGTAAGGGAAGGAGCGTGCATTGGAGAGTGGTTTTAGATATGATTGTTTTCAAGTTCAAATACGTTTATTGAAACAATAGGCTACATCTCAAAAGGATAGAGTAACTTAGGCTATGTCTACCCTCCTAAGTGTGGCATCAGTTTAACTAAAGGCCACTTTTGTTTGTTTCTGGGAACTCTTATTTTCTAATTGTTTATGCCTGCAAAGAATAAACAAAGACCATTATTCTTTGCTTGTGACACCTTAGGGAAGGCTGCTGACCCACGAAACTGTCACAACTTAGAGATGAGTCAAACTGTGTCTTAGAGAAAAGCTAACTTTAAGAATACCCATTTTCTATATCTTGGAGGCACAGTCAACTAGAAAATAACATTTAGTGCCCATGAACAAGAAAATGTTACAGTGTCACGGGACACTGCTCGTGTCTTTGACCGAATATTGAAGCTTGGTTGTCTGGCAAAGTTGCAATTTCTAAGAAATTTCTAAGAATTTCTTCTATCCCTTAATGACAATCTTCAAAACGAGTCTCTGAGGGCAGTTCTTAATCAAGCCAGAGTCTGAAAACTGCTCAACTGCTGCCAACAGTGTGCTTCAGTGACCAGCTACACCTCGTACACGAAGCCAAATCGCATGCTGATAGTTCCTGTCTAAAGTGTACCTACAGGAGAGATGTCAACTGCTACAAGGGTCATAGACCATCACCCGCAGCCATATTAGTCAGGATAAGGTGATCACAGAGTCAGAGCCGAAACAGGTGATTAAGGTGAGTTACCTGGGCTAGGCGAGTGAGGGTGGAGGCGTGGTGGTTGTTGACGGCGTGGGCGGCCAGTAGCTGCAGAAGTGCGGGCGTGGGCGGCGTGTTGATGTCCAGGTAGTGGGAGAGTAGGAGGCGAGGGCTGGCCACAGGCAGCCGTGGGTGCTGCTCCCAGTACACACCTGTAGAGTCGCACTAATGTTTACACACCTGTAGAGTCACACTAATGTTTACACAGCTGTAGTCACACTAATGTTTACACACCTGCAGAGTCACACTAATATTTACACACCTGCAGAGTCACACTAATGTTTACACACCTGCAGAGTCACACTAATGTTGAGACAGTTGTGCTTGCGTCACCCTAAGGGTCCGTCCTACCAGTGCCATCCTTCCAAACCTGTCTTTATCATCGTTATCCTCGAAGCCTTTCTAATTTGTGTCGTTCTTGGGTTCTGTTTCTCTGTATCATCCAAGGTACCTATCCTACCTGCGTCACTGTGATCATATCCTACCTGCGTCACTGTGACCATATCCTACCTGCGTCACTGTGACCATATCCTACCTGCGTCACTGTGACCATATCCTACCTGCGTCACTGTGACCATATCCTACCTGCGTCACTGTGACCATATCCTACCTGCGTCACTGTGACCATATCCTACCTGCGTCACTGTGTGACCATATCCTACCTGCGTCACTGTGACCATATCCTACCGGCGTCACTGTGTGACCATATTCTACCTGCGTCACTGTGTGACCATATCCTACCTGCGTCACCCTGCGTCCATATCCTACCTGCGTCACTGTGACCATATCCTACCTGCGTCACTGTGTGACCATATTCTACCTGCGTCACTGTGACCATATCCTACCTGCGTCACCTTGGGATCCTGTGCCACGCTTGAGGAGGACCTGAACGGGCGTGTCGGCATGGTGACATCCTTGTAGTCTGGCGAGGATGGAGGTGACAAGATCCGGGTTATTGCGAGGCAGGAGCCCTACGTGGTCCCCAGGCAGGTACTGGAGTCCTTCACACACCTCCAGCCCCACCACCTGGCACCACCTGACACATGGACGTCTCAATTAGCAAGAGATACGATACTCACAGTCACTCGCAGACGTCATGATGTGGAGGTCAGGAACCACCACTCAACAGTATTCAATATCATGGCCAAATGTTCGCATGTTATCAAAAAACATTCATTACTTTGATGATCTAATTAGGTTTTCCTGAAAGAAACTCTTACAGTTTAATCATGTTTGATGTCCACTTCTGCTTCATTCCTCCAGGAATGAACTTTAGCATCTCTAGAACGTTTAGTCGTATTGACTTGAAACTTAAAATCAATGAATTTTTAGCAAAAATATATAATAAAATAAGAAAAGCAACCTTATAGTACAATTTGTTCCCTTCGTTTCCGTTCAATATCTTGAGAAAGCCTAATCGTATTGGCTTGACACTGTGACGATAATCTCCTTCAAGAGATTGAGCCTGCTCTTCCCTCCATAATTACGTCGTTGAAATTATATAATTCTACTATGGAAGAAATGTCCAACAACGACAACAACACCAGCAAGGTTTGCCAGAGCGCAAAACGTTGCAGCCAGAGACACCTGTTCAGACTCAAACCGCCAAACTACCTGTTGATCGCTACCGGCTCCGCTGATTGGTCGCCGGTCTGGCTGCACCTGCACTCGCCCCCCCATACTACTTGATGTCTGGGGTCGCCACGACCTCAGACCTCAGAATATTCAGTGCTTTCGTGGTTATCACTCCTCCCGGCTAGACGTTAGCGTGTACTGAGAGAGGTGGTAGCTTAAAGCCAATATTCCAGCACCTTCCCATTTATTTTGTGTTGCACTTCTTGTTATTTTATCTTAACGTAACTTTTCATTGTGTCATTTAATTATTCTTATTATTTTGATTGATTGATTTTATTATACAAATTTGTTTGTCCATTTTTTCATGTTTTGATTTATTTAACGTAATTAAATTTCATTGTTAAAATTTACTTGTGTTTTGTGTGTCTTCTCCTTACCTTACCACAGACGAAGTTCCAGTTTTTTCTATTTTTTTTTATAACTATGTGACGAGGCCATACCCCTAGCCTTAAACAGCCGAACACCAACGCGTTACCGTCACAAGTTATATGGGGGCCTGTCCTAGGAGCTTCACTCAGGTACTGGTGCCAAGTGGTAATTTATGGTAAGCGTATTTAACTTTGTTAACGTAGTTTTACTATTTTTCATATTCAATTTCATTTTTTATAAGGTGCGGTGTATTGTGCATTACGAGAGTAACATATGGTGAAGGTGAGACAACTTTGGATTACGTGGTGACTGTAGGCCTCAGTCATACTCTTAATTGGTCATCTCTCCCTCCTTGTTATTACTCGTGTTTACCATCTTTGTCCCTTGAATATTTCTCATTCTGACAGATCATCATATTGGTACCCTGGTACTGTGGTCTGCCCCGGGTCAAGAGTACCCAATCTTCTACAGTCAGATTGCAGGAGGACAAAGAGGGCCATAGTTCCTCTAGCTCGAACTTTAGTTGCTGAATTGGGACCTCAGCAGCAGTTCTCGTCACCAGTTGACACCTCGCACCCCTACACGTCAGTCAGAGATGATGATACATACAACGGTAGGGAATTAGCTTGCTTTTCAGAGCACAAAAGTTCGCTAATTCTGTAAGTATCATATTAAATTCAGTAGGAAAAACTTGCTTTATGTCCTATAGAGACTTGGCAAGGTATGCCTACATCCTTGGACTACCAATTTTACTTTTGAGACAATTTACTGTTTCATTTGTTAGTAGGATTTTCTTGCCCTTATCCTCTTATATGAGTACCGGGTACAAGATTTCCTGCGCCCTTGATTTAATTTAATTATTTAACATCTTTTACTTAACTTTAATTGTTAAAGATCTCACAGGATAGGTACCAGTTGCCACGGTGTCCTGTTTCTGACATTCACTATTGAATATTCGTGTACCTTTATTTGCTAATTTCACCATGTTTCGTCTCCAAGCTTTCCGTACAAATCCAGCAGGTGAAATAGGGACTTTAAGTCGTGCCAAGAGGACTGAATTACAAACTCTTGCACATGAGTATCAACTAGAAGTTCCCTACCAAGCCAACAAAAATGACCTACACAACCTGTTGCTGGATTACTATTTAGAGCAAGGTAAGATAGACTCTGAAACTCATGAAACTTACTATATTGCAGGAAAAACTGATTTGGCAACGATGAAACTCCAATTGGAACTGGCCAAGATTGAACGTGAGCAGCAAAGGGAAGCCCGCGAACAACAAAGGGAAGCCCTCGAACAACAAGAACGAGCAGCTGCCATACGAAGGGAAGAACAAGAACGTGAGATTGCCTTACTCCAGGAGCGGGAACGCATAAGGCTTGAAACCAAACAACGCGAGTTGGAAATGCAACGTGAACATGACAAGCAACAAGCGACTCTGGCTCTTGAGTGTCGTCAACGCGAAATCGCCTTGGAAACTTCGCACTTCACTCAACGCCAACAAGCTACTGCCAATCTTCCCGTCAGTTTTAATATATCACATGCAAGTAAGTTAATGCCATCCTTTGTAGAAGCAGAAGTTGATGTGTTCTTTACCACCTTTGAAACCCTTGCTAATCAACTCAGTTGGCCTGTCGACCAATGGGCCACACTTCTCAGAGTCCATCTTACAGGTAGAGCTGCAGTCACACTCAGTACTTTGGCGTCTGAGAATGACTACTACACTCTGAAACAAGCAGTGTTGGACGCCTACCTACTTTCCACCGAAAGTTATAGAAGGAAATTCCGTGACCACCTGAAGGCAAGTACCACTACCTTCCTTGAGTTTGCTAACACGAAACGGAGGTATTTCATGAAATGGCTGGAAGCAGCACATGTCTCTACTTTTACAGAACTCGTCAACCTGATGCTTGTTGAAGAATTCTTGAGACGTGTGCCGCCTCCTGTCCGCCTCTACTTAGCAGATAAAGAAGAAACCGACTACCTGAAGTGTGCTAAGTCGGCTGACACTTACAGCCTCATCCACCGGCTGACACCCGAACCATCCTCCAGTAAGAAGTCGTGGTACAGTTACGAGAAGGTGAGCCCCGATCAAGCTGGTTCACAACTGTACTGCAAGTATTGTAGACTCTATGGACATACCATAGACAAGTGTGGTAAGTCTCAATACAAGGGAACCACTGACCAACAAAGACCCAAACCAACTCCTCCTAAGTCCGGTAAGCCTGTGATGAATGTTGGTGTTGATGTTAATGATCATTCTCTTTTCAGTAACCACCTGTATACTGGAACTGTCTCTGCCAACGGTTCAAATCCGGAGGGACGTTTCAAATTGAAGATCTTGAGGGACACAGCGGCTCTACAATCGATCATCTTGAAGTCGGCTATGCCCAACATCGTCTACACCGGAGAAACTGTCTTCATCACTGACCTCACTGCTACCACTCCATACCCTCTCGCCAGAGTCCACCTGGATTGTCCCTACGTGAACGGGGAAGTCCAAGTCGCCGTCAGGGAAAAGCCTTTTCCCATGCCTGGAGTGCAACTTCTCCTAGGCAACGACTTGGCAGAAGACCTGCAACCGACCAACCTGATCGTCATGGACAAACCCCAGGTGTGTAACTCTGTGCCAATAAACCCTATTCTAGAGTATGTTCCAGCAGAGGTTCAAGAGAGTGATGAAGTTTCTCCTCCGGTTCTCGTGACCACCCGTGCACAAGCCGCACGTCCACAGCCAGCTGACTCTACTGCTACCGCTGTCCCTCAAGACCCTCAGAAACTACCCCCGCATCTGACCAAGTTGGAGTTCCGTAAGTTGCAGAGGGAAGATCTTACTTTAACACCATTGTTTTTCCAGGCTGAGACTCAACCCGACAGTATTCCTGGGTTCTTCCTAGAGAACGACTTGCTCTACCGCAGATATAGACCCAGTAAACTGAAGGAGGAGGACGATTGGGCCAACATCGAACAACTTGTGATTCCCACCAGCCTGCGGCCCACTATTCTACACCTGGCCCACGGAGCATTCTCCCACTACGGCTTCAACAAGACTTACCATGGGATTCGTCAAGACTACTACTGGCCAGGTATGGTAAATAACGTCAAACAGTACGTAAAACAGTGTCATACATGTCAGATGGCAGGCAAACCGAACGTCTCCATTCCCAGAGCACCACTGATTCCCATACAGGTGCCTGCGGAACCTTTCCACAGACTCATAATAGACTGTGTTGGTCCTTTACCTCGGACCAGTTCAGGTAACGCCTACATCCTAACCATCCTGTGTCCTACCACCAGATTTCCCATAGCAGTTCCAGTGAAGAACATCACGGCTGCTACGGTTATAAAACATCTATTGAAGATCTTCACTCAATACGGATTTCCCAGGGAGATTCAAAGTGACTGTGGCACCAACTTCACCAGTGATCTCTTCAAAAGGACACTGGAGGAGTTCAACATCAAACAGGTATTGTCCAGCCCCTATCATCCTGCTTCACAGGGTTCTCTTGAACGTAGTCATCAGACCATCAAAGCACTCTTGAAAAAGTTTTGTAGTGAAACCTCGAAGGATTGGGATAAGCAGATTGACCTTATAATGTGTATTTTCAGAAGTCTCCCCAATGAGTCCCTAGGAGTATCTCATGAGATGCTCTACGGCCGTAAGTGCCGTACTCCCCTTAAGGCTTTCAAAGACTCTCTCAGAGATGCCACCTTCAGTGAGCATCAGAATGTGCCCCAGTTTCTTCAAAACCTTCAACACATTCTAGAGAGAGTCCACCGCTTTGCCCATGATAATCTATTGAAAGCCCAGGTGAGAATGAAGACTCATTACGACCAGACCAGCAAAGTAAGAAAATTCAAGCCGGGAGACTTCGTCCTTGCCTATTTCCCTATCCCAGGTTCACCTTTACAAAACAGGTTTTCAGGACCCTACTGCGTCAAAGAGTGCAGGAATAATAACAACTACGTGATAGAGACTCCAGATAGGCGGCGGAAGACCCAGCTGTGCCACGTCAACCTCCTGAAGCAATATAATGGTACTCCTCCCACTGTCTTGACTAATTGTTCCACCTTCACAGAACCCTACATCCACAGTGAGACCTTCCCAGCTTCTCCTCCCGAAAGCACTGACAAGGAGTCAGCGCTTTCTAATTTCAAAATCCTTAATGATCTTCCCAAATGCTTTCAGGATAATAATCGTGCTCCTTTGCCCTCTTCTAATTCCACTCTCACCTCGTCAGATAAGCCCTTCATCCTCCATGTCGACGCCAATGGTACCGACGTTGGTGGTGTCGTGATGCAGCAACGAGGCGAGAAGAATACACCTGTCAGCGACTACTGCTACAAGGAACTACGGAACAATTGGCAAGGAGCTACTCTTCCTCATCCTGAAGCTTCAGCACTTCACTCCACACCTGAAAAGTGCTCGGTCCACCATCAACACGGACCACACCACCCTACACCTCCTGCAGCACGCCCACTTCTCATCTCAACGTCTTCTACTATGGGCTTGCTAACTGCAGAAATTCAACCTGGAGACACGCTATACCAAGAGTCTGACAACATCTTAGCCCATGATCTCTCCAGAGTTTATAAAGTAGAAGCGACTCCATCCATTACTCCACCACATAACGACGTACTTCTTCCAGAACCGCAGGCTTCGGGGGAGAGTTGTGACGATAATCTCCTTCAAGAGATTGAGCCTGCTCTTCCCTCCATAATTACGTCGTTGAAATTATATAATTCTACTATGGAAGAAATGTCCAACAACGACAACAACACCAGCAAGGTTTGCCAGAGTGCAAAACGTTGCAGCCAGAGACACCTGTTCAGACTCAAACCGCCAAACTACCTGTTGATCGCTACCGGCTCCGCTGATTGGTCGCCGGTCTGGCTGCACCTGCACTCGCCCCCCCATACTACTTGATGTCTGGGGTCGCCACGACCTCAGACCTCAGAATATTCAGTGCTTTCGTGGTTATCACTCCTCCCGGCTAGACGTTAGCGTGTACTGAGAGAGGTGGTAGCTTAAAGCCAATATTCCAGCACCTTCCCATTTATTTTGTGTTGCACTTCTTGTTATTTTATCTTAACGTAACTTTTCATTGTGTCATTTAATTATTCTTATTATTTTGATTGATTGATTTTATTATACAAATTTGTTTGTCCATTTTTTCATGTTTTGATTTATTTAACGTAATTAAAATTTCATTGTTAAAATTTACTTGTGTTTTGTGTGTCTTCTCCTTACCTTACCACAGACGAAGTTCCAGTTTTTCTATTTTTTTTATAACTATGTGACGAGGCCATACCCCTAGCCTTAAACAGCCGAACACCAACGCGTTACCGTCACAACACCAACATGTAACCTGGAGACGACTATTCTGTTTTCTATATACCTAGAGAAAAAAATGCTTCATCTTCCTTTACCAAGGCTGGCTGGTGTCTAAGGGCCACAAACCTCACATCGTCTATAAACACAAGTGCTTCTCTGTACACTGAATGATTGAGATGCTTCTCTCAAACCTAATTTATACCTCATAGAAGAGATATTTCCTTTTTAAAACTTGTCTTGCATCGTTTGCAGGCTTGGTTACCTCTCTGGAATTGAACGTGTACCACCTGAAGATCACCTGCCATCATAGACCCTAACATGCACCTCTTGGAAACCAATCTGCATTTCTGAAACCTGTTCTGTACCTAATTAAAACATATATTCCTTCCTGAGCCTATTCTGTGTCTTGATACTTTATCTATCACTCTGGAGTCTATCATGTACCTCCTGGAAGCTACCTATCTCTCTGCGATCTACTTTGTACCTTCTGAAAGCTGCTCAACCTCTCCTGAAACCTGCTCTACCCTAACTTAACTGAACCTTAAATTTCTGGAATAGTATCTGGTCATTTCCTCCCGCCTTTCCATCTTCCCTCACTCCTCTCATAATTAAATATGACTTCAACATTTCTTGTAACTCACCTGTCGCCTTCTTCGTGCAGGATCTTAGATTCCAGCACTCGGACAGTCTGGACTTTCTTCATGTGAAGTTGTGACAGGCCTGGAACACATCACGTCTTGAAAACTACATTTTGTAAATATGGGGATATTTTTTATTTCACAGTCGTCGATGATTGAACTATACAAGAGATTCTGAAGATAATGTGAGGCTCTTCCCTTGGCACCACTTACCTTCCAGAAGGTCAGTGTGGCGGGTGGCTGGAGTCAGCTTGACATTGTCAGCTCTCAGGTCCACCACACCCAGTGTTGACATCTGGCCCTCCCCGACACCAAACTCTTGCGACGCTGCCTGACATACGAAAACACGTTTGTGATATAATGACATTATTGGAGTGATGTGGCAACACAGGACACGGCATAGTACCTGTACGGTACCTGGATCTCCCTCAACGCCTGCAATAACTCTAGATGACACCCACCATGAACAACTGCTTCATTTGGATGTTCCTGATGCATTCACCCTCCCATAACAACCAGAACACATGTTTACCCCTGGGAAGGATTCAGAAACTATGAAGCAAACGTCATAGCCATTGAAAGATCCAAGAGCTGCAGGGGGTATTAAACACCATAATCATGAGAGGACCAAAGAGCAGCAAGGGTATTAAACATCATAATCATGGGAAGACCAAAGAGCAGCAAGGGTATTTTTTATTTATTTATTTATTTATTTATATATATACAAGAAGGTACATTGGGTTTGTGAGAATACATTGGATAGTACAGTATTTACACTCTTGTAAAGCCACTAGTACGTGCAGCGTTTCGGGCAGGTCCTTAATCTAACAGATAATTTTAAGATAATTTAAGATATTTTTTAATTTTAATTTTTATTAAACACCATAATCATGGGAGGACCAAAGAGCAGCAAGGGTTTACAACCTGTGCACCTCTACATGATGCACCCACCTTGAAGACCTGCTCGGTCCAGGTGTTGAAGGCGCCCTCCTGATTGTTGAGTTCATCCCCGCAGGTCAGCTGCAGGAGGCGGCAGCCCCCAGACTCACCCAGAAGATAGTCCACATATTTACCGAAGGCACAGAAGTTGGCGTAATTAGTCGACCCCAAGGCGAACACGGCATACCTGCCACAGAACGAAGACAATAATCTTGATCAAGGTTCAAGGCTAAAACTGAACTTAAAACTCCAAGAACATGTTCCAAATGAAAATCAAATGAGAAATGAAATGGAAGGGTAAGGATGGGGAGGTAGCGTCAAGCCATTACGACTATATAACACTGGGAAGGGCTCAGGATAAGGATTTGGGATGGGACGGGAGGAAGGAATTGTGCCCAACCACTTGGACGGTCGGGGAGTGAACGCCGACCTACATGAAGCAAAAGCGTCGCTCTACCGTCCAGCTCAGGTATACGCTAATAAAGTGATGGTTGAGACATTTCTAGAGAGTGAAGCTGGTGATAAATGAGAGGTTTGTGTAGTAATAGCTGCCATTTAGTTATGTTGTAATAGCTGCCATTTAGTTATGCTGTAATAACTGTCATTCAGTTAGCCACGACTGTGAACGTGGTGAACTGGCCGGCTCAGTCAGCACGACCCGGGGCTCGTCATATGGGATTTATACCTTGTGGTCTAGAGGCCCAGAGGGGAGTTACGGCTTGTGTCAGGCTCTCCAAGAGAACAGTGCCTGTTCAACCTGAGAGTGAACCTTATTTCATTCAGCAGTGAACGGGCACACTGCTGTCAAGGACGTGAGAGATTGAACCTTAATGGTAAAAGATGGTTTTGGCTGCTTCAGTCACGGAATTTGGAATGATGATGTCCGATGTCTCTACCCCTTAGTTTCCTCACTCATCTGTCAACCTGTAATGTCCAGCCTTGCCCTTGTACGCTTAGCTCACCTCACAGGGTCGCTGACGGAGAGTGTGGAGGTGTTGGCAAGGTCCTCCTTCGACTCCCACCTGCGCCTGAACCTATGTAAGAGGCTGCTGATGCTGCCGCTCCCTTCCTTCCCCTCCAGCACGCCCTTCTCATCACCGGACGTGACGCCGACGGGGCTCCTGCTGGCGGCGGTGCTGCTGTCGACGAAGCACAGTGAAACTGACCTCCATATACACATATATATCTCAAATGTAAAGTAAATATATATGTAATGTTCAAGTTGAGCACTAGACATGCCTGGGGGACATATTCACAGTAATATACCAAAGCAAGCAGAGATTTAATCACTTATACTTACTTTTGGAAGGTGTTGTAATCCTCCCAGAAACTTAACCTGCAGGAAATACACATCAGTATTGGAAAAATATTACCACCACTACTACTAATAATATTAACAATAACAATAATAATAATAATAATCAGGATAAGTCCTGATTATTATTATTATTTAGAGGTAGAATCATACAAACTTTTGATCATGGGGAATGTGCCTGCTGGCGTTCTCCTTGAGGGCGTACAAGCTCTTGACGAACTCCTGAAGTGGTAATGCGCGCGGCGGGATCGTCGAGTGCGACGATGGTAGTGGTGATGGTGGGGGATAAGAACGAACACCCGGAGATTAGAGAGCAGAGTGATAGAAAGAGAACAAATCTAAATTAAGAACAATATTGTAATAATAATAATTCGTTGTGTCGGCAACAGGAAACTTGTGTATACCGGACCAGTGGCAAATTATTTTGTGCAATAACTAAGGCCAATTGTAATAATTTGCCAGCTTCGATTAAAAAAAAAAGGTGTTTTATAGAAAAAAATGAAATGCACAAAATTTGAAAGTGTTAAATTGAGATTAAATTTGCGAGAATAACTAATACATGAACTTTGATGAAAAACAACTAATATATTTAAAAGTGTGAGGCTCAATAGTTAGTACTGCTGGACCCCTCTGAGGACTGAGTCCAAGATGGCTGCCTCGTTGGCTACATCGGCCCTGTGACATGACCCTCATGTCACCCCTAACTCTTTGCCTTTCTAGAAAACGCAATCCGAGCTACTTGGTAGCAACAAGTACCTGGCCGTTGGTTGGAGGTTCACCAGTGCCGGTCGTGGAAGCCACCACCAGGAGGAGCGACTCGTCCCACACGTCCTGGTTCACCTGGTAGTCCGACATGCACATTACCTGCAGGAGTCAGGTGGTAATTAACAATCACCATCGTCAACCACCGTCAGTACAGTGTTAGGTCATATTGGAGAAATAGAGGAAGCAGAGAGTAGAGGGAGGCATGGGATGGGTAGAAAGGGGACAGGAGAAGAGTAGAGGAGTACATGGGAGGCGGGGAAGGCGTAGCAGAAGGGGTGAGAGAGGAATGACCGATTGATTGATGGTAGAAAGAGGATGAAAACGGAGAACTCCCCGAGTGTGTATGGACGTCACTCAAGAAGTGTCTGTACCTTGGAATTGAAGTTGAACTTGAAGACGTGGTTGAGGGAGTGGGCCAGAGACTGTGACCTTCCAGTCTCTGAGGCATAGACAATGGTGACCCTCACTCTCTTGCTGAGGGCCTCACGGTAGAGGACACTGGCGAACACCACAGCCCTACATGAAGCAAGAACGACCCTATGAGCTGCCTGTTGATAACTGCATGTGTGTTTAATGTGAAGTACTTAGGCTATGTCCACATGTACTGGCAGTCTATCAAGCACTCAATAGCAAAATTCGGTTGGAAATCAGTGCTGTACAACTTTATATTTATATTCATCATAATGACTAACAAAATATAATGTAAATAAATAATAATACCCAAAGGTTGTATATGACTTCGTAAATGTTACACCCACAGTGACGTCCCACAGTGACGTCACAACACCAGTCGGTTACAAACAAAAGTTTAACCTACATGGCCACTTTTCTGAAGAGTTTAATGGCGCGGGCTGCCGTGTTCTCCTCGGCGAGGGCGCTGACATGGCGGGCGTAGGCGACCCAGGCGGGCTGCTGATACTCGTAGGAGGGCTTGAGGTAGTAGAGCGACATCTCCTGGTGGAAGACTGGCGTGAGGGCGGCTGAGAAGGGCGGCACGATCCACACCCAGTCCGCCGGACACCCGCCCCGCTCACGGTGTTCGTTCTCCATGAACTGCATGAAGGACTCCGACGCCGTGTGGTGGTCCACCATCGTCACTTTAGCTTCCTGTGTCCACGGAAGCCAAGGAGGAAATTTAGAGACGTGTGAACATTTAGAGGAGTGTGAAAACTTAGAGACGAGGCTTGATAACTTACCTGGAATGAATGGAGAACGGCCTTGTTGATCTCCAAGGCAACGGAGTCTTTCCAAAGCGTCATGTTGGACCTTGTATCCAGCCCCATCCTCTCCCCAACCACCTGTACGCAAAAATAGTTCATGAGGATCAATGGGGAGACACTTGACAAACCGCCGGCTTCCTGTCCACTAGGGTTATAGTAACTACCGGGTAAATTCAGGCAGTTTAGTATCATATAAATCTGATGAGGAAGCATTAAGATAATATAACTATATCATTTGAGAGCGCTATGAGGACAAGGAGCTGGGATATGAGGACAAGGAGCTGGGATATGAGGACAAGGAGCTGGGATATGAGGACAAGGAGCTGGGATATGAGGACAAGGAGCTGAGATATGAGGACAAGGAGCTGGGATACGAGGACAAGGAGCTGGGATATGAGGACAAGGAGCTGGGATATGAGGACAAGGAGCTGGGATATGAGGACAAGGAGCTGGGATATGAGGACAAGGAGCTGAGATATGAGGACAAGGAGCTGGGATACGAGGACAAGGAGCTGGGATATGAGGACAAGGAGCTGGGATATGAGGACAAGGAGCTGGGATATGAGGACAAGGAGCTGGGATGTGAGGGCAAGGTGCTGGGATATGAGGACAAGGAGCTGGGATATGAGGACAAGGAGCTGGGATATGAGGACAAGGTGCTGGGATATGAGGACAAGGAGCTGGGATATGAGGACAAGGAGCTGGGATATGAGGACAAGGAGCTGGGATATGAGGACAAGGTGCTAGGATATGAGGACAAGGAGCTGGGATATGAGGACAAGGAGCTGGGATATGAGGACAAGGAGCTGGGATGTGAGGACAAGGTGCTGGGATATGAGGACAAGGAGCTGGGATATGAGGACAAGGAGCTGGGATATGAGGACAAGGAGCTGGGATATGAGGACAAGGAGCTGGGATATGAGGACAAGGAGCTGGGATATGAGGACAAGGGGTGGGATGTGAGGACAAGGTGCTGGGATATGAGGACAAGGAGCTGGGATATGAGGACAAGGAGCTGGGATATGAGGACAAGGTGCTGGGATATGAGGACAAGGAGCTGGGATATGAGGACAAGGAGCTGGGATATGAGGACAAGGAGCTGGGATATGAGGACAAGGTGCTAGGATATGAGGACAAGGAGCTGGGATATGAGGACAAGGAGCTGGGATATGAGGACAAGGAGCTGGGATATGAGGACAAGGAGCTGGGATATGAGGACAAGGAGCTGGGATATGAGGACAAGGAGCTGGGATATGAGGACCAGGAGCTGGGATATGAGGACAAGGTGCTGGGATATGAGGACAAGGAGCTGGGATATGAGGACAAGGAGCTGGGATATGAGGACAAGGAGCTGGGATATGAGGACAAGGAGCTGGGATATGAGGACAAGGAGCTGGGATATGGGGACAAGGAGCTGGGATATGAGGACAAGGAGCTGGGATATGAGGACAAGGAGCCGGGATATGAAAACAAGGAGCTGGGATATGAGGACAAGGAGCCGGGATATGAAGATAAAGAGCTGGGATATGAGGACAAGGAGCTGGGGTATGAGGACAAGGAGCTGGGATATGAAGATAAAGAGCTGGGATATGAGGACAAGGAGCTGGGATATGAAGTCAAGGAACTGGGATATGAAGACAAAGAGCTGGGATATGAGGACAAGGAGCCGGGATATGAAGATAAAGATCTGGGATATGAGGACAAGGAGCTGGGATATGAAGTCAAGGAACTGGGATATGAAGACAAAGAGTTGGGATATGAGGACTAGGAGCTGGGATATGAAGTCAAGGAACTGGGATACGAAGACAAAGAGCTGGGATATGAGGACAAGGAGCCGGGATATGAAGATAAAGATCTGGGATATGAGGACAAGGAGCTGGGATATGAAGTCAAGGAACTGGGATATGAAGTCAAGGAACTGGGATATGAAGACAAAGAGTTGGGATAGGTCGGAGGGAAGAGAGGGTACACTACCCCATGGACCAAATCATAAAAAATGTTGTGATAACGTAACAAAGAATCCATGCAAACGAACTAAAAAAATAACTAATTGGTAAATATATCCCTTCCCGCCAAAACATCAAAGCACGCAGTTGTCGTACTCAGTGTGCAAAGGTATCGCGTTTGGTATCAAACTAATAATTTTAGTGTACCTGCAGAAGATTGTATCGTTGGGTATCGCATAAGTCCCTAGTGGCAATTTCCGTCGACATGTACCAGCCATTGAAGGGCGCCGCCGGGAATTCCACGCCCCCACAGTCGAAAAGCATGGAGGACACGCCTGGCAGCGCGAACCATCGCAGTCCCAGCTCCCCGAACCAGTCGAACCTGAAAGATGGCGAGGGAAGGTTGTGTGTTTTTCTCTCTCTTCCCAGCACCAACACACGCTAGTGGTGCAGCGCCACCACTGCTCACTCTGGACACTGAAGCATCACCAACACTCACCCTGGGTGGTGAAGCTCCACCTGCAGCACCAGGTCCTCGGGTATGGGGAAGCACTCCGGGTCGCCCGTGGCAGCAGACACAACAAGAGGCAGCACATCAAATCTCCCGCCGGCACCTGTCCAGCCCAGCTGCTGACACACCTGTAACAATACTTTAATAAGTACTACTTACTTAATACTTACTTTAATAATAACTCTACAAAATAAGGCACTTTCTGAGCCAACATGTCAGGGGACCCACAAGAATGAGAGGCAATGACGAACCAGCGGGACTCGACCTGATATTCACCCTGAATGAGTCAGAAATAAGGGAAGTCAAATTTGAAGCCCCCATAGGAATGAGTGACCACAGTGTATTAACATTTAAGTATCTGGTGGAGGTAGGGATAACCTATCCAAGGATGGGAGCGGAAGGGAAAAGACTGAATTCCCGAAGAGGGAAATACGACGAGATGAGGAACTTCCTAATGGGAATACCATGGAAAACAAAACTCAGAGAGAAGACTGTATAGGATATAATGGACTGTGTCACCTAGAAGTGCTAGGAAGCTGCAGACAGGTTTATCCCGGCCTAAAAAGGAGAAAAATTAAAAGCAACAGAAGAATCCGTGGTTCAATCAGGAATGTAATTTAGCGAAGCAGTTGAGCACAAGTACATGGACAAACTACAGGAACAACAGAACACCAGAGAGCAGGGAGAGATACCAGAGGGCCAGAAATGAGTACCTCAGAGGAGAGAAGCAGAGACAGTATGAAAATGACCATCGTGAATAAAGCCAAGACCCAACCAAAACTGCTCCATAGTCACATCAGGAGGAAAACAGCAGTGAAGGAACAAGTTATGAAACTGAGAAAAGGGGAGAACAGATACACATAGAATGACAAGGAGATGTGTGAAGCACTAAACAAAAGATTCCAGGAGGTCTTCACAAAAGAACAAGGAGAAGCCCCTGCACTAAATGAGGAGGCGGCAAACCAAGCAAACTTGGAAGAATTTGAGCTCACCAGTGATGAGGTCAAAAGGTGTCTGTTGGAGGTGAATGTGACAAAGGCTGTTGAACCTGACAATCTCACCATGGATGCTAAAGGAAGGTGCAGAAGCACTAAGTTTGCCACTCTCTATGGTGTATAACAGGTCACTGGAAACAGGAGACTTACCAGAAAGTTGGAAGACAGCTAACGTAGTCCCAATATACAAGAAGGGTGACAGGCAAGAGGCACTGAACTACAGGCCAGTTTCCCTAACTTGTATACCATGCAAGGTGATGGAGAAGATCGTGAGGAAAAGGCTCGTAGAGCATCTGGAGGGAAATAACTTTGTAACACACCACCAGCATGGGTTCAGGGATGGTAAATCGTGCCTCACAGGGTTAATAGAATTCTATGACCAAGCAACAAAAATTAGGCAAGAAAGAGAAGGGTGGGCAGACTGCATTTTCTTGGACTGTTAGAAAGCCTTTGACACAGTACCCCATAAAAGGCTGTTACAAAAGTTGGAGCAACAGGCAAGAGTAAAAGTTAAGGTGCTCCAGTGGATAAGGGAGTATCAAAGCAACAGGAAACAGCGAGTAACTGTGAGGGGGGGGGGAGACATCAGAGTGGCGAGATGTCACCAGTAGAATCCCACAGGGCTCTGTACTCGGACCCATCCTGTTTCTAATATATGTAAACGACCTTCCAGAGGGTATAGACTCAGTCCTCTCAATGTTTGCTGATGATGCAAAAATTATGAGAAGAATCAAGACAGATGAAGATAGACAGAGACTACAGGACGACCTGGACAAACTGGAGGAATGGTCTAGAAAATGGTTACTATGGTTTAACTCAGGAAAGTGCAAAGTAATGAAATTAGGCGAAGGGAACATAAGGCTGAACACAAGGTACCATCTGGGAGGTGAAATTCTGCAAGAGTCAAATAGAGAGAAATATCTGGGGGTCGATATCACACCGAACCTGTCCCCAGAGGCCCACATCAAAAGGATATCATCAGCGGCATATACTAGATTGGTCAATATGAGAACTGCCTTTAGAATTTTGTTTAGGGAATCGTTCAGTGAAGGATACCACTTATGTCAGACCAATCCTGGCATATGCAGCTCCAGTCTGGAGTCCATACCTAGTAAACACAAGACAAAGTTAAAGAATCAAAGATATGTCACCAGACTCGTTCCGGAACTGAGAGGTATGAGCTACGAGGAAAGACTAAGGGAGCTAAACCTCATATCCCTGGAAAACAGAAGAGTAAGGGGAGACATGATAACCACCTACAAAATTCTCGGGGGAATTGACAGGGTGGACAAAGACAAACTCTTTAGCGCGGGTGGAACACGAACAAGGGGACACAGGTGGAAACTGAGTACCCAAATGTAGACATGATAGAGCCCAGTAGGCTAAAAAAAATCTGTACCACAGTTGATTGACAGTTGAGAGGCGGGATCAAAGAGCCAGAACTCAACCCCTCTCAAGTACAACTAGGTGAGTACCTGGTTACAGTTGTGTCCACTACATCCTTTATACATTCCACTACATTCGCGTAACGTGACTGACCAGGGTACAGTGACTGACCAGGATACAGTGACTAACCAGGATACAGTGACTAACCAGGATACAGTGACTGACCAGGATACAGTAACTTACCAGGATACAGTAACTTACCAGGATACAGTGACTAACCTGGGTAAAGGTGGTGTAGGCAGGATCGCCAGTAACGGAGCCGTCAGCGTTGGTGTAGCCAGCATAGCAGATCATCTGTGGGTTCCACACTCTGAAGTCCCTCTGCCCCGCCCGCCGCGCTGGGAACACTGTTATGGCCGACCTGCCGACCAGACAAACACCAACATGGACCAAACAGCAAGAGTCGTGCTGACCTATGCCAGGCAGGTCTTATTTCTACCTAGTTGTAAGTGGGGAACTTAACTCAGGCAGGGTGTAGGGCTGAGGGCGAAGCTGGCAGGGTGTCACACTCTGAGAGAGAGAGAGAGAGAGAGAGAGAGAGAGAGAGAGAGAGAGAGAGAGAGAGAGAGAGAGAGAGAGAGAGAGAGAGAGAGAGAGAGAGAGAGAGAGAGAGAGAGAGAGAGAGAGAGAGAGAGAGAGAGAGAGAGAGAGAGAGAGAGAGAGAGAGAGAGAGAGAGAGAGAGAGAGAGAGAGAGAGAGAGAGAGAGAGAGAGAGAGAGAAAGAAAGAGAGAGAGAGAGAGAGAGAGAGAGAGAGAGAGAGAGAGAGAGAGAGAGAGAAAGAAAGAGAAAGAAAGAGAAGACTCACCTGATATTTCCACCATTGGTGGAGTATTTAATGTGGTTACAGAGGGCTTGGAACATCTGTCTGGGCGTGGTAACATCTCTTGCATCAAACACCTGTAGAAGAGTCACTTCTAACATTACCTTATCTTCACACCCCACACCCTAACACAGGCTTTAGGTTGGGTTCGGTTACGTTAGGATAGGGTTGGGTTAGGTTAGGATGGGTTGGGTTAGGTTAGGATGGGTTGGGTTAAGTTAGGATGAGTTAGGTTAGGTTAGGATAGATTGGGTTAAGTTAGGTTAGGTTAGGATGGATTGGGTTAGGTTAGGTTAGGATGGATTGGGTTAGGTTAGATTAGGTTAGGCTAGGATGGATTGGGTTAGGCTAGG